TCTGTTTTGTTTTTGGTCCTTCCGATGTAGACCCGGGGCTGCACTTCCAAGCGTGATCGCTCAGTCGTGATTGTCACATGAACCGTTTGAACGGTTTCTTTTTTCTCCTTGTAAAAATGTCAACATCTTTGTATAGTCATGTGGTATATATGCTGCAGGGAACGTGGTGGCGCTGCAGCTTAAACCGCAGAAGCCTCTGTGCTGCAAGGTCAGAAGACCTGAAGTCGTAAGATCGAATCCACGTGACGGAATGAGCTCCCATCACTTGTCCCAGCTCCTGCCAACCTAGCAGTTCGAAAGCATGCAAAATGCAAAATGCAAGTAGATAAATAGGTACCACCTCGGTGGGAAGGTAATGGTGTTCCGTGTCTAGTCGCGCTGGCCACGTGACCACGGAAATTTTCTTCAGACAAAACGCTGGCTCTATGGCTTGGAAACAGGGATGAGCACCGCGCCTTAGAGTCGGACACGACTGGACTCAATGTCAAGGGGAACCTTTACCTTTACCTAGCTATGCTGCAAGACCAGTTTACATGGCTTTGAGCCGTTTCCTACTGTTTGGAGAGGTTCTGTAGGCCACACCTGCCATTGGAAAAAAAAGGATATAAGGGCATATAACGGGTACGCAGCATGGCTATGACACCCAAAAACCCAACCGATTCACAAAGTCAATAAATTGACTGCAATGTTCATATGCGCTAAAATGATAAGGACTGAAGCTATACAGGGATCAGATACTTTTAAAAAGGTTATGCTGGCTAGGTGGGGGTGGGGAAAACTATGGGCTGGCCAAATGAATGGATGTTACCTGTGTGTCACATGAACGGAAATGTGTAAAACAATTTAAATCATGGTAGAATCGACGTAACTGGGGAGTATTTTTGGCTCACGTGACGGTACCCTGACTCACATCTCTCGGACATGGATAGCTTTCAGTTTCTAAAAAGAGGAAATATACAGTGGCTGAAATCCAGTAATAAGTCATAATTAGACAAGTCAGTGGGTCTATGGTGAGTGAGTCCTCTCCTCTATGTTGTTGTTTAGTCATTGTGTCCGACTCTTCATGACCCCATGGACCACAGCACGCCAGGCCCTCCTGTCTTCCACTGCCTCCCGGAGTTCGGTCAAAATCATGTTGGTCACTTCGACGACCCTGTCCAGCCATCTTGTCCTCTGTCGTCCGCTTCTCCTCTTGCCTTCACACTTTCTTAACTTCAGGGTGTTTTCCAAGGATATCTCCTCCATAAGCTCTGTCAGTTTGGGGGCGCTACTCTACTTGTGGCTTTTGACTGGATTTGAGCCCGTGGGGGGGTTAGACACTGTGGCTATTGTTCCTTCCCCCACCATACATATAGTACAAATATATTTTTCAATGATATTTCTATAGGGCTTTCTATGTATCATATGTAAACTGATTCAAGAGTAATTTCTTTGCCCACAGAAGGGTGGGAACTGTAGTTTCTTTGCATGGGGAATATTGTTTAGGGGAGGTGCGATAAGAGTTATTTGTAGTCTTGGCACTCATAAGAGTTGCGTCTTATACTATCACTTTTGGGATTGACCTGTGGCCATGCTGGCTGGGAGATTCTGGATTTTGTAAAACCCCCCCCCAAAAAACCCCCACAACCCTTAATATTTCCCAACTTTAATTTGTCTTACTCAGCAGCATCTCCAGGTTAATATTTCCCAACTTTGATTTGTCTTACTCAGCAGCATCTCCAGGTCAAATTTGGCTCTGACTCTACTCAAACCCATCGGTCTTCTGTCCCAACATGCTGCCCAGTGTTCTCCTCTCTTCCCCAGCATTCTTCCTTTGATTTTCCAGGTTGTTGTTGGTCTATTATTACTCATCCTGTAGAATAGCTGCTTGGCTTGCAATGGCTTCACATTCCATTTCAGGCACCACCATTTAAAATATGTGGGCAACCTTCAAAGGTTTGATGGCTGCACATGCCCATCTGTAGGTGTTGGAGGGCCAAATGTGGTCCATGTGCCCTCTTTATCCACCCTCCAAAATATTTTTCTTAAAAAAATTTTTTTTTGAAACCGAAACTGGTCTCTTATGCCCTCTAGTGGCCATTTAAATAACCATTTTATAGATTTTTAAAGGAGAATATTGAAGGAAAGTGTTGCTAGGGAGCACTGAAAAAAGCGTGGAATTTTTTTTAACTTAACCATCCACGACACCTTCTGCGCTTGCTGTATATGTGTGTGTTTTGTTGTTTGATGTAAATGATAGTGACCTTGATGGGGATGAGAAAGAGATTTTTGTCTCACTTTCAGCTTGAGGAAGTAGATCTTGAAGGACTTCAAACACTCTTTGGTGGCCTTCTGTCAAGACGGCCTCATTGGGTGACAGTGTACAATTCTGGCACACAGTCATTCCATCCTTATCTTTAAAAAAAAGGTTTTATCCATTTTGTGTCTCTTCTAGCTGTTTGTAAAGTTGGCCCAGACAAAGACAGCGCTGGAGGATTCAGGTGAGTTGTGTTGCTGCCGAGGAGGATCAACTTCCTAATTTTGGGACCGGCTTCTTGGGTCTTTGTAATTGACAGATGTCAGCCTCTCGTGATGTGCCTCTCATGATGGGAAGGTTCTCCTTGGCTAATTGCCATGTCTTGTGGTGACGTTGACCAACTGGGGAGTCCGGTGGGACTCATCGACTTGGCAAATGGCAGTCCCACATTGGGGCATATTCTTTTTCTGGTGTTGTCAGAGAAGGCTGATAGGGAGGCACCTCAAAATATTTAACTTTGGGGGAAGTAAAATGCCTCAGGAAGTTCTCTTGTGCCTTCTGGGGGATATAGAAGGCAATTTTGCCATGTTTTGAGGGGGCCCGGGCATTTTTTAAAAGACTGACTGACTGACTGATTGATTGATTGATTGATTGATTCATTCATTCATTCATTCATTCATTCATTCATTCATTCATTCATTCATTCATTCATTCATTCATTCATTCATTACTTCGACTTATGTACTGCCCTGTTAGTGCTGGAGCAGTTAAAACAGACTACACGGGATTGAATACAGCATAAATAGCAAAAACATAGTCCTAAAACTTAAACAGTGGCACAACCAGTATTCTCAGTGAGGCAAGACTGGGGGTGAGGTCAGCTGAGGTCACCGTGAAAGGCCTCCCTAAATAGGAGTGTTTTTAACTGCCTTCTAAATGAGCACAGGATGTTACTGAATATTATTACGGAGTATTATTGTCATTATTTTGACTGCTGAAGGGCACAAGGGGGCTTTTGGGGCTAAAAACAGTCAATTTTTGTAAGATTTGAGGGAGTGAGATTGCAAAGGCAGCTCACCGTGATCCAGAGATGGGTATGTGTACCCTTCCAGACCTCTGGAAATTGCCCACACCTGATCCAGATGGAGCTCCTCACTGGCAACCAACCAACCAACTAACCAACCAACCAACGAATCAAGGACTATTTGGTGATATTCTACATCTCTTGCTGCAAAGGGATGTCCAAAGGCTGAGTCCATCATGTCTAGATCTGTTCTAGATCCAAATGGAGATATGTTCTAGATCTGATCCAGATTGAGCCCCTCACTATCAATCAATCAATCTATCAATCAATCAATCAATCAATCAATCAATCAGTCAGTCAGTCAGTCAGTCAATCAATCAATCAATCAGTCAATCAATCAATCAATCAATCAATCAATCAAGGACTATTTGGTGATATTCTACATCTGTTGCTGAGAAGGGATGTCCAAAGTCCAAGTCCATCATGTCTAGATCTGTTCTAAATCCAGATGGAGATCTGTTCTAGATCTGAAACAGATAGAGCCCCTCACTAGCAATCAATCAATCAATCAATCAATCAATCAATCAATCAATCAATCAATCAATCAATCAATCAATCAATCAAGGACTATTTGGTAATGTTCTACATCTGTTGCTGAGAAGGGATGTCCAAAGGCTGAGCCTATCCTGTCTAGATCTTTTCTCCTGGGTTCTGGTGAGAATTTTGAGAATTCCAGTGGGATTGAACTGTGCTTGGAATTTTATTGGTTACAGACAGGGTGTATCAGATGAACATTGGTGCTCTGGAGAAGATCAGGGAGGAATGGCAGATGGAGCACGTCAAGGCTTGTGAGGTAAAAACCAAGGATGTCTACTTTGCCCTTTTTTCAGGCGATGGAAAGCTAGGGTAGCAGGTGCTGCTAAGCATGAATCTTTCGCCCTGACATAGGCTTCCCTAAAGTTCTGCCTTTAAATTCTGAAAAATTCATTAAAAATAAGTTAATGTATTTAATGGAGACATTTTTTTCTGCAATGGGATGAAGAGGACGGTTGGCCACCAAACAGATTTAAGAAACTGATCTGTGCAAAAAATGAATAACTTGATTTTCCCCCAGACCCCTAGAGTAGAGAATGCTCATCTTCCCCTATCATCCAACCAGAAGGTAGCACAATTTAAAAATAAATAAATCTGGAGGCCTTTTTTTACCCATTCCTGTGTGCACAGAAGATACGCCTATGAAAGCGAGTGGTGCGAGAGCATTTGAAAAGGTTTCCAGAAGTTGTATCTTGTCCTCTGATCTTCATGGGCACTTTGGCTTGTGTTCCCCCCTCAGTTCTTTGAGAGCCAGGAATGTGAACGGATCAATTACTTCCGAAATGCTTTGTGGCTTCATGTCAACCAGCTCTCTGAGGAGTGTGTCAAGAATGATGACGTAAGTAAGAGGGTGGAATTTTCGTACTACATAATTGGTGAATGTATGGCATCCTCGACTTGGGAGTTGGGGAAAGGTAATTTTTTGGACTACAACTCCCAGAATTCGATGGCATCCTTGACTTGGGAGTTGGGGAAAGGTAAATTTTTGGACTACAACTCCCAAAATTCCCCGTATTTTCAAAGACACAGTGTTCTTGTCTCCCTCCCTCCCTCCAGAGGTATTTTCAAAGACACGGTGTTCTTGTCTCCCTCCCTCCCTCCAGAGCTATGAGGAGATTCGCAAGAGCCTTGAGCATTGCAGTATTGAGAAGGACATTGAGTGTTTCGTCAGTCTCCGCAAAACAGGCTCTCTCCCGCCAAGTAAGTGGATTTGTGACAAGAATCGGCAGCCCATGTGACACAAGGAGGCGGCTGGTCTGTCGTTTTTCAAATATGTGTCTGTTCTTTCTCTGTGAGTAAAGTGAGCCAGTGGGTGGGGGAATGTGACTGAACAGATACCTAGAGAGAGAGAGACCTTGTCACGAAATAGCCAAGACAATTATTTTGTCTTTGAATGAGAAGTGCTTAGTAGCTGTCAAGATGGTCTACGGGATCCCCTCTTGTACTCACTTCCATTCACAGAGTGACACCAGGCAACAGAAAATCCCAGAAGCTCACTTCTTTTCCTCAGAAAAAAGGGATTTCCCCTTGTGTGGTATCACTTGGTGAATGGGAGTGAGCACAAGAGGGGATCTTGTAGATCATCTTGACTGCTGCCATTGGTGTTGTCAACATTCAGGTTGCTCTTTGGTGTGTAAAGCTTGGCATCCTTTGTCCTGTTGGCAGGCGTAGACATAGGCATCCTTCAGTCTTGAGAGATTATGGTAACATGCTCTGAATAGAGGACTTGGAACAGCGTCTAGTGGGGCTGAGAAGGCCAATTCGAGAATAATAATCCCTTCCACACTGAAGAGAAATACAATCTGCCCCTGTTCAGCTCCCTGGTTTTGCTGGTTTCAGGACTGCCTCTTTGCCTCGGCCTGCTGGACAAGGGCCTCTTCAAATTGGGAGAGGCCGTGCTGCACCACCTGCCTCCAGGCTGAACGCAACACAGGCACAATATAATACAGCACTATCGGGCCATTTCCTCGCCTTTTGAATCATGGATTCAAAAGCATGGTATCCCACATTCATAAACTGATTTTAAAAAAAAAGAATTGTGCAGTGCGTGTCATGTCACCATAAGTGGGAATTCGCTTGCAGGCACACAATTATTGTTATTCTGCATGTTTAGCTAGACATCAATGTCTCTCTCACACACTGTTCCTGGCAGCGTGAATAATGTCGCCTCCAGTTTTGGCCTGAACATCTCCAAAGGACACACAGAGTGTTTTGTGCCGTTATTCTATTTCCTTTTCTGCCTACATGTTGGCCAAGTTACAAGCAGTCTGCGATGATGGATGGACTTGTGTTCATTGTTTTGGGCCATTGACTGAACACGGTAAGTTACAAACCACCTCCATTCTTTCTTTCCTTTTTTGTAGCCCCAGTGGTGTACGAAAATTATTATAATACCCAGAAGAATGCAGCACTGGGACGAAATCAGGCCCCAGCCCCTGGGAGGTAAGACTAGAGGCACTGCTTAAATTTAACCGGTAGATCAATAGTATTTATACTGTGCTTTTCGTGGAGGGAGTGTTTACAAACCTCCCCCCCCACGCAAAAGATACAGAATATGAAATGTGTGTCAGGGTTTCCGCAGAGGTCTTGTGAACAACGAACCAAGCAGCTTAGGAGGTTTGGAATCCCACCTCGAAGGGGTCGTTGTTAATATTTTCTAACTCCTGCATTTGGTGGGGATACAAGAGAGGGTCTTCTCTGTGGCTGCTCCCAGACTTTTGGAACTCCCTCCCACTGGAAGCCAGGCTGGCCTCATCTTTGCTGTCCTTCCACAAGCAGGCAAAGACCTTTCTCTCCCCAGGCAAGCTGTCCCTGAGCGACAGCTTCTCTGAGTGGGGTTCTCAAATGGAAGGTGGTGCCTTACTGCTCTGAATATGTTTTTTTTTTTTAGTGTTCCTTTTGCTTACTGCTTTTTTTTTTAGTGTGGGATTTGTTGGAACCTTTCTAGTTATTTGTATACTCCCTGCTTTTAGCTTTAAATATTGCCTTTTAAGGATGTAAACTGCCTTAGGTCCTCTTGAAGGAGAAAGGCAAGGTAAAAATATTTTGAATTAATAAAAAATAAATAATGTTCGGGTTACAATACGGAGCAGAGAGTGGGAAAGAAGAAGAGATGGGGTCATGCCATCACTATTCTCAAGGTTGGGAGGTGATAAACTAAAACCAGAAAGATGTGTTAGCGGATTGGGGCCTGGGTACAGAATGGAGAGGCTTCTTTTTCTGGACTGCACCTTCCCGTCTTGGCAGCCAAGACCTCTCTCGGGTTCTCTGCACCCAGGGCTTCGCTTCCGGCCTTTTTCTGTCCCTTTCCTTTTCCCACAGAAAGAAGAATGGTATTTTTTATTGGCCGAGGGTAGGAAGCGTAACCATTTCCTTCTCGCTTTCTCTTCCAGTCCTCTTTACGGGATTGTTGTAAGAATCTGTAACACAGTGGTGCCTCGCTAGACAGTTACCCCACATGACTTTGCTAGACATTGACTTTTTGCGATCGCTGTAGCGATTCGCAAAACAGTGATTCATATGGGGGAATTTCGCTGGACAATGTTTGGTCCCTGCTTCGCAAACTGATTTTTGCTAGACGACGATTTTGACAGCTCCCTCCATGCTCGCAAACATGTGTTTTTGGGGCCTAAGCTTCGCAAGACAGCAATTTAAACAGCTGATCGGTGATTTGCAAAGTGGCTTTCCAATGGCCGATCTTCGCTAGACAACGACGATTCTTCCCCATTGGAACGCATTAAACAGGTTTCAATGCATTCCAATGGGGAAATGCTTTTCGCTATACAATGATTTCGCTAAACAGTGATTTCAGTGGAACGGATTATCATTGTCTAGTGAGGCACCACTGTACATTGTTCCGCCCCCCCAGTGGCTATTTGGGGGACAATCTGGGAACTGATGTCCCACTCAAAGGAACGTTTCTGATCCCTGGAACGAGACCAGAAAAAAAGCATACCGTTCAGTTGCGTGGAATGGCACTTTCTCAATGCTGAACCTCATGAAGGGGTCTTGTCTCTTTCTTCTCTCCAGGAGGCCCCAGATGCCGGTTCCTTCCAGCAAACCAAGTAAGCAAACCGGCTGCCTTTGGGTGAACCAAGATTTATGGACAAAGTCACGCTTCCTACTCTTTCCCTGCCCTTTTTTTTTCTTTTAAACCTCTGGGTCCCAATGAGATGGAAAGCATGAGATAAGAACATCAAGACAAGTTGAGCGGAATCAAAGAAAAGGCCGGTCGCATCCGGCCGTCTCTTCCTGTGGCTAGACAGGAAGGGTTAAGCAGTCCCACCTCTTGGCTTTTCTCTCTCTTTGATTTGGGAGCTGGGGAGCTGCATTTCATTTTTTTTAAGCAGAAATGTTCTGGGTCATACCCTGTTTTCCCCAAAATAAGACAGGGCCTTATATTAATGTTTGCTCCAAAAATGCATTAGGGCTTATTTCCAGGGGATTTTTAATTTTTTTTTTAATGTACAACCATCTACACTTATTCAAATACAGTCATGTCATCAGGTTGCTGCACAAGGGTGGAGGGTGGGGTGTCACTCAACTAGAGCTTATTTTGGGGGGTAGGGCTTATATGACGAGCATCCTGCAAAATCATACTAGGGATTATTTTCAGGTTAGGTCTTATTTTAGGGGAAACAGGGTATCTAGCTTGTAAAATAAAGCATGGAATGTGACAAACAGCCATTTGGGGAATGCATCACATGCAGGTACATTAGTCTGAGGGCCAACCTTGGTTTGGGCTGCCTGTTGCAATTACCCTCATCCTCATCATCATAACATGCCTCAGGTTTATTAGGACTTTTGATGAGCCTTACCAGGTTTTGCTAGGTATAAATTACTCAGAGGTCGTTTACCATTCTCTTGTCCTCGGGAGACGCCCTGGGACTGTGCGCAGCTTGCCCAAGGCTACACAGGCTGGTTTTTCTCCTGGGAGCCCAGCGGGGGAATCAAGATTTCAACCACTTCGCTATACAGTCATCATCAGGGGATATTGAACTCCTTAAAACACAGTGTACAGTGACACATCATAGTGGATCTAACTCTGTATTGTGACACAGAATTGTAGACTCATAGGTCCGTAGAGGTGGAAGGGTCATTGAATAGAACCCTTTGCTGATGCAGAAATCTGCAACTAGAACATCATGAGAAAATTGGACCGCTATCGGTCAGACCTGCTTTGATCGGGATTCCTGCATTGAACGGGGGGAGGGGGTTAGACACGATGGCCTTAGAGGCCCCTCCTGGCTCCATTAATCTAGGATTCTATTCCATATTTACTTGGGACACTTATTCATGACAACAGGTGTGTTTCTTCCTTTGCAGTGTATATACCTTTTTTGTTTTCTTACAGTACTAATTTATTGGGATTTCTCTTTTACAGTGGATCCTGAATACTCAACTGTGGATGGTTATAGTTTAATACATCATCCTTAGCTAGAAAGTGTAAGTTGGTTCATTGTGAAAGGGGACTTGCTAGGGAATACGAAGGGATACCAGGGTGGGTAGATGGGTTTGCATTGCGTTGGAACTAGTTTATATTCTGTCCTTTATACGTGTTATGGCATTATGGCTCTTTTCCTCCATTGGAGGCACTGAAAGTGGATAACTCTTAATTACAGGGGGACGGTGAATCTGCTTCAGATTTTAGCCTGAACTTTATGAGAGCTTTCCAAGGTGCTGAAGCCTGTCAGGGTTCAGATTTAGCAGGCTGCATAGCTCCAGCTAAAACCTGGGACAGACTTGAAACCCCAGTGACATTGGAGTCACCGGGATCCGCTTTTTGGAAGAGAGACTTGTACAGTATCTCTCACACTGCCTAACTTATATCCTTTAAATTCGCCTACTGCCTCTAGGTGTGGCGGAGACCTTGTCTTGCCCCCAAGTATTGAAATAAAATTCAACAACCCTTAGTCCTATGTCCTGCTCTGTGGGCAGCTTCTGTACAAGGAGCGGGAGAGTCCTGTCTTATCCTCCGCTTCTGGCAGGAGAACATCGGAGGCAGACTGCCAGCCTCCTCGTCTTCCGTAAACTAGCACCGGGATCTGTTCCTACAGGGCTTGACTGTCTATGGGAATGTAGGAAAACCACCCGAGCCCTAGATCATGTATCTATCCATCCATCCCAAGTTGTTTTATGGACTCTGACTGGCAGCAGCAATGCCACGACTTGGGCAGAGTGCGTTGGTACTGGAGCTCCTTTGACGAGAGATGGCAAGGATCTAATGGGTGTCAACACTCCCAGGAGCCTGGAAAGGCAACTGTTTTGCATGACACCGTCTCCCGTCCAGTAATAAAAGGCCTTCTATGAACCTACCGTCCTGCACGACCCCATGGACATTTAACTTGGATCTTGTGTTGTTGTTCTGTTTATAGTAAGAGGGGAGGGGGGCTCAGGGAGTTGTCCAGAAAATAAAAGAGAGGAACTTTTCCCTCGTTTGGATTTTATCACAGAGGCAGGTTTTTCCTCCCCAGTATTAGTGCTGCCGCCTCCTCCAACCCTAACTTCTGGTAGTTATAGACATTTTGAAAGTTGCCCATGTTTGCCCCCGTTTCAAATTACACTCATTTTTTGAACTCACTGTTCTTATGAGCCTGCACAGGGATTTAGATAAAAAACAAGGGAGTCCTTTCTCTTGGTGCCATCGCCTTCACAGGGGCATCTGATGGGGACCCGGGAGAGGGCCTTCTCTGTGGCTGCCCCCAGACTCTGGAAATCCCTCCCACTGGAGGCTAGCCTGGCCCCATCTTGGCTGTCCCTTGACAAACAAGCAAAGACCTTTCTTTTCAGGCAGGCTTTTCCTTCATGAGTGGCAATCTGAGAGGGCTTTTTAAAATGGATGATTGCACTCTTTCCTTTTAAATATGTTTTAGTATTGATTTTATTTTAATCCAGTCCTTGTCTAATTCTTTTTAAATACAGTGGTGCCTCGCAAGATGAAAGTAATTCGCTCCACGAGTAGCGCTGTCTTGCGAAATTTTCATCTTGCGAAAAGCGGTTTCCCATAGGAATGCATTGCAATGCATTCCTATGGGAACCTCACAAGACAAAAATAATTCATTTGTCTTGCAAGGTATTGGTCGCGAAAAACGTTCGTCTTGCAAAGCACGGCCATAGAAGAAGCCATCTTGCAAAGCACCACAGTGATCACAAAAAACATTTGTCTTGCGGGTTTTTCGTCCTGTGAGACATTCATCTTGCGAGGCACCACTGTATTTGCATATTTGCTGTTTTTAGCTTTTAAATGCTTTTTAATGATGCAAGCCACTTTCCTTTTCTTTTAAGGAAAAAGGCAGGGTAATTTTTTTTTAAAAAAAAGACATTAAGAAATTGAGCTCGGGATTCTCTGTCACCCCCTCAGCTGTCCCTCCACCATTTGGTGGGTGGCTGTGACAAAACCTGCGCCTTCAGTTACACCCCAAAGTTAACTGGAAGTCCATTTGTTCGGCATAAGACTGGGGGAGTGACTCTCCTCTTGATGCTTCATGAAAAAATGAGGAGCAGCCTTCTGACCTGGACCTTGGCAAGGGGCACAGCTCCTATACTTTTGCTAAAAAAGATAAGCTATAGCCCAGAAAATAACTTCTCCAAGCCTGATTTTTTTTGCACAGATTTAGGACATTCATTTCCTTTGATGCTGTGAAGGAATAACAGGGTAGAAACCTCAAAACAGGAATGTAGGTGTTCTTGGCTAGAATCTGACGGTTTTGCTCACGTTGCTGTTTTTTTCTCCCAGGTTTTGAAGCCCGTTTGCTCATCAGCACCTTCCTGAGGAAAACAAATAAGAAAAACAAAGCTGTGCTTTTCGATTCAGTTTCTCTGCGGTCGACTCATGCTCCCTTCCGAACCACCAGACGGTCAAAAAAGAACATTCTTGCGTAATAGAGGATGTGTACAGATCGGAGCAATAGGCGCCCAATAACTTTGAAGCAAGAACCCCAAAGACTGTTTTTTTTAATATTTTTATTTTATTTTTCATTTCAAAGAGCAGGGGGGAAAAATTCTTAAGCCTAGCAGGTGGTGAAGTGTCCCTTCCGGAGTTTTAGATCGGGAGGTGCGGATCTGAAGCTTGACTGGATGTCCCGGAGCAGGGTTGTCATGAAGTGAACTCATTACATCGTTGTGAACTTTTTCAGTGAAATTATGGATGACAGTTTGAAGGGAAACCAACCTGGAAGGACTGGCAAAAACAGGGAATATACGTTGAAACTGTTGAGTTTTTCAGTGTTCGTCCAGGGCCTGGGAAGTCCGGAATGGGAGCTATCCTGTGAATTCTTTCTGATGGTGGTTGTAAGCTGCTTTGAGATGGTTTGGAAAAGCGAGACACAACGCAGCTTGATGGGGATGGGGGTTCTCTCACTGACCAATTTCTCCCTCTTTTAACGGCTTGATTTGTTTGTATGATTCCGTCAAGGACCAACCGACGTCCTTTCTTCTGCCGACGTTCTAATAAAATATGAATTGGAAAAACTCTGTCCAAGGCTGCAGAACCTTTGTAATTGGAAATTCCTAGCATGTCAACATCGCAGTTCAGGAGATAATATTACAAACGCTGTTTTGAGAGCCCTTAACGGGTCAGGAATATGAATGGCGAAGAAAGCCGCACGTTTGGCAAGAAATGTTAGAAAATGTCCAATCGTCCCAGCTTGTCATTTTGCAAATTCGGTTTGCTTGCTTTTGTGTAATGATCGCCTCCCCCAGGAGGTAAACATGGGGTTTATTTGCGAGTTGGATTCTTCTCTGAAGAAACTGTTTTCCTAAACACTGTAACAGCAGGAAATGCACATTGCCATACACGTAATTTGACCTTTTATGGCCATACTTGAACGCAGGCACTGCACTCGGATATGAAATGCCCAAGTGTTGAAGCAGCAGTGGCTGAAATATGTATATAAAAAGAGGCATCTTATGGCTTCCTTTCCACTAAGGATGGGCAGACGTCACGCTGGTGGAATGACATTGGTCTTGCTTGCTTTCATCAGAATCCTGAAATTCACGAGGCAGATCCCGGAGCAAAAGACAAATCGTCCGAGTGAAATGACTCTTCGGAGTCCGGATTTTGTTTTGAATATCAGAATGAATAGATTCCATTTGCCCTAAGAGTGGTCCACAAAAGTCCACTCCTTTTCTTTCGTTGTAGTGCTCTCATTTTGGACGGTGGCGGCGGCGGGAGTTACAGTATCGGTATTCTGGACAGTTGGGAGTCAGTTTGCCATGTCGGTGTCCCCCAAAATATCTAGAGTTGTACTGGCAAACCCGGATCTTTTCACCACCTACCAGTCTGGTTTGCTTGAAGCTTAACGGGACATACTTCAATTAGAGGAAATAGGTTGGCCTGATGATATCAGCGCTTCTCGTAAGAAGGAAATTCATTTGAGTTGCCTGGTAATATTTCTCCATAGTCTAGTGGCTAGGAATCTTGCACTCAAGAGTCTTGAGTTCAAATCCTCACTCAGCCAGGGATCTTGAGCAAGTTACTCAGCACAGCCTGTGTCACAGGGTGGTTGAAGGGGAGCACTAGCTAGCCTGAGGCCTTTGAAGGACCATGTGACCCTATAAATTTGAGGATGATGGTTCCAGGGTTTCACTCAGGCTGTGACTACACTGGCAAGGTGAATGGTGTGTCTCGACCCACAGCTCATTTTATGCTTCTGTTCAGATTACATGATTACATGGAGCCTGCCCATTCTTTCTGCGTTTGATGCGGTTTGAGCCACACCGCAGACCACAGTCTCCCTTCCTTTAATCCTGCCCTCTGCCAATCTGAGCTTGCCCATTCTTTCTGCATTTGATGCAGTTTGACCACTTCCTTTAATCCTGCCTTCTGCCAATCCTTGGTTCTCCTTTTTATAACTCATTGTAAAGGCAGGTGGGCTGTTTAAATTGTTGTACTGCACTAAGGAAAGGGGCAGTTCTCCACAAGGTACAAATTTGGATTAAAATAAAAACAATATAATAAAATATAAAACAACAGTAGTATTATAGTTCAAGATGGGAAAAATATTCAAGTGACATACAGACATGCTGTAGAAACATTGTTGTATGCTGTTGTTCGTCAAAGTTGTGTTTATTTCATATCAATTAATATATTATATTGTCTGTGTACAGGTGACCTAGCGCTAAACTAGTAAGTCAGAGGGTGATCTAGCACTAAACTTGGTAGCTTATGAGAAATACTTTGGGGCATATATAGAGAAAGATAGTAGCGGAAAGATAAAACTCTTTCAGGGCAAGATTAATTCAAATTGATTTTGTGCCATGTGATCAGTTTAAGGATGCATTAACAGAAGTACTTCCTAGAAAAGAGAAGACTCCCTTGAAAAGACCCAGATGTTAGGAAAGTGTGAAGGCAAGAGGAGAAAGGGACGACCGAGGATGAGATGGCTGGACAGTGTCTGCGAAGCTACCAACATGAAATTGACCCAACTCCAGGAGGCAGTGGAAGATAGGAGGGCCTGGCGTGCTCTGGTCCATGGGGTCACGAAGAGTCGGACACGACTAAACGACTAAACAAAAGTAGTTTCAAGATCTCAAGAGGTACTACTCCTCTATTCAGCACTGGTTAGGCTTCATCAAGAATACTTTACCCAGTTCTGGACACTATCAGAAGTATGCTGATGAACTAGAACAAGTTCAGAGGAGGGCAACAGGGATGATGAGGGGACTGGAAACTAAGCCCTCTGTGGAAAGTCTGAAAACATTGGGCATGATTAGCTTTGAAAAAAGAAGACAGAGGGGTGATAGGATAGTGCTTTTCAAATACTTGAAAGGATTATCTTATAGAGCAGGGGAAGGATCTGTTCTTGATCATCCCGGGGTACAGGACCCAGAATAATGAGCTCAAGCTACAAGAAGCCAAAATATCAGGAAAAAACAACACTTCCTGTTAGAGCAGTACAACAACCGAAGCAGTGACCTCAGGAGGGGATGAGCGCTCCAATGCTGGAAGCATTAAACAAACAAACAAACAAAACAAAACTGGACAACCCCATCAGATCTGCTTTGATTTGGATTCCCAGAGCAGGGGAAGCATTAAACAAACAAACAAAACAAAACAAAACAAAACTGGACAACCCCCTGTCAGATCTGCTTTGATTTGGATTCCTGCCTTGAGCCGGGGGTTGGACTGGATGTTCTTGTGGAGCCCCTTCCAACTCAATTAACTATTCTAAATAATCCAAATCCATTGTTTTGCACCCAAAGCCAATCTGCAGTATTTGACCAAGTAGTGGCAGCCTCAGCCGGGCAGATTAATCCCCAGAATCCCAGTGATCCTTCCACTTTCCCTGTGACCTGCAGAGAGCCAGAGTTTGGGAGTTCGATTCCCCTCTGCAGAAGAGCCAGCCTGGGTGGCCTTGGGCAAGCTGCCCATCCCTGGGTGGCGTCAGAAGAAGGGGAAGGGCAAACGACTTTTCAATATTTTCTACCTGGAAGACCCTGAAAGGGGTCCCCATAAGTAAGAATTGTCTTAATAGCACATGATTATTTTAATAAATCCTGTACTTTGGAATTCTAGGCTTGGCTCCACGTGGCTTCCATGCATGAGACGCCTATGCATTCTCACCAGCAGGTCCTCTGTCAATCTCTATTTAAGTCTGCAAGGAGGAAGTACGTATCGAATTTTTGCCTCCCCCCCAATTTTGGGGCGTTTTGGACTCCAACTCCCATCATTCCCTAACATTTGGTGTTACAGGTGGGGCTGAAGTTAGCAGCAGGAAAAAAAGAATTTAGGGGTCAAAAGGCACGACTTCCAGGTCAATCTGAGCACTGGCAGCTGTAACTTTTTGGGAAACAAGCTACCGGCAAAGTGGTAGCTGTGACTTATGGAAATACAGTAATGACTCAAATGCTATTTGCTCAACTCAGATTTGGACACGGTTTACCACTTTCGGTCACTAGGGGTCCCTGTCGCAAGCAGCTTCCTTAAGTCGCAGGCGTTGCCTGGACAGCATTTTCAACCTCTTCGCCACCCGTAGCTAGCTCGATCGCGATTGGTGGAGGAGGGGAAAAAAAAACCAAGAAGCGGTAGACTCAACAAAAGTGATAGAAAGGCAGTGCTCGAAGTAGGGAGGCGATGCTTCCGGGTTACACTTTGAACACCTTTGGTTTTCTTCCCAACCCGTTGTCAAAAGGGACCTTACTGTGTATCTGGACCTTCCGCGCGCGCGGGGGGGGCAGCCCCTCTTCTCGCCCCCCCTCTCCATCATCCCAACAGGGGAGCAAAACCAGGAGTTGCTGCTCCTTTCAACGGAGGTCCTAAAACTGACCCAAGGGCGTTCAAACAAGCGAAAGCTGTTCATGGGCGTCCCCTTCATATTCGGTGGGGCAGCGGAGAGTTTGGAAGGGCAGGTGCTCAGCGTCCCCCATTTTCCAGAACCCCCTTTCGCTAAAGAACGTCTCTAAAAGCTATAGAGCAGGGCCATTTTTTTAAAGAATTGGGGAGCAGGTCTTTTGCAAAGCCAGTGGCTCTTGATGGCTGATTTAAAGAACAGACTCTCAGCGGGTTCCTTTATATTTCTGCGGCTGTGATGGGGAAGGGAGGGTGGTGGTGGTGGAAAGGAACCACACTCAGGCCTCCCTTTTAGGGGGATGCAGGGATGGGCCTGGACGACAGCAGCCCATGTTTCCCCTCCAACAGGTCTGAGAGAAACTGAAGGGAGGGCGACGGCAAAGCTCGCCGTGAAATAAATCTGTCCGCCCGTTTTGGCCTCGGAATGCTCTACCTTCCCTTTTCTCTCGCTCTCTCTCTCTCTTTTTCCTAGCTCTATGCTCAAGGGAGGAAGCGGGGGAGGAGGGAGAAGGAGGGGAGGCGGGGAGAAGGCGTGGCCTGGGCTCACGTGACCCCTCCCCCGCTGGGCGGGGCGCCGCCGCCGCCGCCGCCGCACCAACAGCAACAATAACAACAAGGCGGAAGAAGCGGAAGAAGGAGGAGGAAGAAGGTGGTGCTTTTTTTGCCGGCTGCCCGGGCCGAGCGGGGCGGGGATGGCGGAGGCCGTCCGACCCCGGAGCCGAGCCAAGGCCAGCCGGGGCAGAGCCAAGGTAAACTCCCCCGCCCGGGTTGGCGTGAGTTTGGACGCGGTCCTTTAATTATAGATAGGACTACAACTCCCATCACCTCCCCCACAGCCAGCGGAGCTGCCCTGGGCATGATGGGTTTTGTAGTCCAGAGCTCTGGCCTTGGTTCTCCTTGAGAAGTGGGGCCACCAGCGTGGCTTCGAGTACCATTCCCATTTTTGGGGGGGTATTATGGGATTTGTAGTCCAAAGCTCTGGACTTGGTTCTCCCTGAGAGGTGGGCCACCATCGTGGCTTCCCAGCTCCGGTTTCTGAGTTGGGACCGGAACCTTTTTGTAAAATTTTAAAAAAGTAAGGGGGAAAAAGATATATATTTGGAGTACAACGCCCATTGGGGGTGTTATGGGATTTGTAGTCCAAAGCTCTGGGCCACCAGTGTGGCTTTCCAGCTCTGATTCCTGACTTGGGCTCTCTGGGAAAGACTTGCCTTCTGGACCAGAATTTGGGAAAAAGTTACTTTAAAGAAAAAAAGTTCCCCAAAAATCTCAGCACAGCTTGGGGGGGTTGTGTCAAAACCCGCTGGCTTGGGGGAGTATGGGAGTTGTCATCCAAAGCTCTGGCCTTTGTTCTAAACTCAAGAGATTTTCGCTGGTGTTGTTTCCAAACTCTGATTTCTGACTTCGGCCATCTGGGAAAGTCTTGCCTTCTGGGCCAGAACTTAGGAAAGTTACTTTTCTAAGTTACTTTAAAAAAAAAAAGACTCTGGTTCCCCAAATCTCCCTCTCAACGGGTTAAAACTGTTTGGTAGGGGGATGATTCTGAGCCTCGCCGTTCCCCAAAGTCACTTTCCGGCCACATTATAGTAGCAAAGAGTTCAGTGACACCTTGGAAGTTGGTGCAGTTTATTTGATGGAAAGCATTTCGTGGCCTGCAGCCCACATCCAGGTAAAGCTTCCGTGGCCCAGCGTGCCGGTTCACCATCACCGTGGCAGAAAAGTGGCCCTTGTGAAACTGGAAGGCAGGTCCCGAGTGCCACGAGAGCCGTTTCCATCTTTTCGTTTTTCAAGCAGTTGGTGTAGCAGATGTGAAGGTTGTGTGTAAACCACCCCAACTGGTAGACACGAAGAAAACTGGTCGAAAGGGCAGGATCGGTTCTCGATCATCCCAGAGTGCAGGATATGCGATAATGGGCTCAAGCCACAGGAAGCCAGATTTCAGTTGAATATCAGGAAAAACTTCCTAACTGTTAGAGCAGTACAACAATGGAATCAATTACCATTGATAATTGGTGAGCGTTCCGACGCTGGAAGTATGCAAGAGAAAACTGGACAACCACCCAGCAGATATCTTTTGATTTCAAATCCTGGACTGAGCAGGGGGTTGGACTTGATGGCCTTGTAGGCCCCTTCCATCTCTATGATTCTGTTTCTCTTCTGTGGATTTTTCTGAATGATTTCGAAGTCGGTGAAATCAGCGCTCCCTGTATTTCACAACAACATGTTCCGTGCGCTGTGTCCAAGTCTCGTTTTCCACTGGACTCTTCTGTCGGTCAGTGTTAATGATTTCCTTGGACGTTTTCAGGCCTGGAGAGAAAAAGCAGAAAAGATGCAGGACCTTAAAGATTTATTTTGGCCTGGAATTCTAGTGAGTTGCAGCGCTCCTTCCTCAGACACATGGAACATGCCTATCTCTTTGAAAACATGCCTGGCAGAAAGAGAGAAAGACCCTGCCGTTCTTTGAACATCTTCATCCTATTATGCCTTGGATAGCCCCAGCGGATTTCACTTTTCTCTTATCGTTTCAGTTGTGCTTTTGGGATATTCTGCTGTGAATTGGGGTATCGGAATGATAAACCGTCTGGTTGCCCCCAGAAGAAGGGAATGGTAAACCACTTCTAAGTATTTTAGAAAAACTTGGAAAGATCTAAGTTAGAACGGACTTGATGACACTTGGTTATTATTCAATGCCACGGCACCATTTTTAGGGCTTGTTGATCCTTAATGAAGCCTGCCCGTAAGCGACTTCTCTAGGATGAGAAACACAGCAGTCTGGGTTTTTTGAGGAAAGGTTATCCTTTCGCCCTCAACTCAGCAAACCTAAAGAGATGAGCACATCTGAAGGATGCTGATTCTCCCCTTTTCTGCCCCATCTCCTTTCTGCTCTTGCAGAAGACCCTTTTTCTTGCGCATTGGAGGCATCAACCTGTGGGCAGAACAGGGAGATAAAAAGACACAAAACCCTGCTTTCTCTCTCTTGACTTTTTAATATGTTTGAGGAACTCCTCCTTTGCCTTTTTCTCCCCCAACTCATATTTGCCAGAATAGGAATTTTTGAAAATGGTCAGGTCTTGTGGCTTGTAGGGGTGGCTTTGGATATGGATGCACCAGAATTTGGATACAGCCGACCGCACTGTGCCTTGTGGGGGGGGGAGTCAAAGTGGTGGTGTCTGGGGCAAAATCCAAACTGCCCTGTGCCGGTTACAGCCCTGAACAAATCTTCTGAAATGTTTTGGGCCAGGATACAAAGATGGTAGCGATCCTCATGTAGAACAGCTGGAGGAGGTGGTAAGCAGATGAACCTGAGATGGTCTGGTATAGCGTAGTGCAATGGTCCCCAACCTTGGGCCTCCAGATGTTCTTGGACTACAACTCCCAGAAGCCTTCACCACCACCTGTGCTGGCTAGGATTTCTGGAAGTTGAAGTCCAAGAATATCTGGAGGCCCGTAGTGATTAGGGTGTTGGATAGAGGCTTGGAAGGTCCGTCGTCTGCCTTGAAAGACAGGGTGTAGCCATCACACATTGATCTGCTATTGTTCTCTTATCTCTTGACTTTCCAGTCCTCCATCTGTTTTACTACACGGGCAAACAACTCTAGAATAATTCATAGCATGGGTCAGAGGATATCAGAAGCATACGTGAACAAAGGCAGACGCTCCCACCCGGTGTTGGGTCATGCTGTCTTTTTGATTCCTTCAGTTCCTGAAATTCCTGGAAGCGGTCCTTCCTGGGAGTTGTAGTTTTTCGGGAGGTGCCTTCTAATGGACACCAAAACTAGGACTTCCAGGAAACACCATAGAAGCTTCCTTTAAAAAAAAAAACCTGAAGAACAGAAAACTATGACCACACAGACTCTGACATAGGGCCTGCTCCACTTGAGTAAAACGTTAGTTGTTGAATTGGCCATCATTGTAGTACATTTCTTTTGAAAATAATATAGATATGGATAATTGCTTTGGGCCCTTTTCAGTCTTGCCTGTTCCCTGGGCAGACATGTTTGGCTTGGCGTGCTCGGCAGCTTGACCTTGCGGACACTGCAAAATGGCTCAGCCCTGGATTTAAACTTCCCCTTCCCTTGAAGAAATGAATAGGTGGGTTTTGGGGGAGTTGGGTGGATGCGTTGAAATGCCACAGTGGGTCATGCAGGAATTATTTGGTGCATAAAAAGAAAACAATCTGATCATGCTGTTCTGTGTGCCAATCAGATGTGTTAGCTTCAGTTAACCTCTGCTTCAGAATAATGTGACTCTCACATGGCACTTCCTTAGACTTTTGGCTGATGTTCATCCCATTGCTTCATTGACTTTTTAAAAAAATGTTCTAAATTAATTAACAAGTGGAACACATCTGCAGAAAGAAGAGGTGGTTGTTTTGTCGTCTTTTTTTACTTGTCACAACAGCTTCAAAGTGGTTTACTGATTGGTTTTTTTTTAAAGCAGCAAAACATTTATAAACATCTATCAAACAGCGGTGGAATAAAGCAATAGATCAGAACACAGTGGATTCACACAAGAAATTGGCTGATACTTAAGACAAAGCCCCCCTCCCTGATAAAAGCACAGCTGATGTACAGGTGCATAAATATCCACATGATGAGCTCACAGGTGATGGGATGTGGAGCAAAATCCCAAATAAAATAGATTAGTCAATTATTAAGGAGTATTTATCTGTAGCTCAAACTCCAAAAGGGTCCTTTGTAAGAGGCAGATGATTCTATGTCTGCTTGATTGGGATCCATTCTTACTTTATCCATTGCCCTCCCATTGTGCTACGGACCTGTTGCAGCTCCACACTGTTCTGGAAGTTCTCTCTGCCCTCAGAAGCAGCTTCTGTAGGAGAGGCCAGGGAACTGTTGTGAAGGGTGTGGTCAGGACACAACATCTGCTCTTGGCAGTTAAGGTCTAACCCACTGGTTCCCATCCTTGGGTTCTCCAGATGTTCTTGGACTGCAATTCCCAGAAACCCCTGACCAGCACAGCTTGTGGTGAAGGCTTCTGGGAGTTTTAGTCCAAGAACATCTGGAGAACTACTGGTCTCGCCTGTGGTTCATAGCCTCGGATCTTGCTAATGGTTGGGATGCATGTTGTTGTGGGTCTTTCTTCCAGACCTAGTCTGTGCTTCTTCAGGATCTGATCACCTTTCACAGTAACACATTGTTCATCAATAGAAAGATCTATTGTATTTTTCCATGTATAAGTCACCCCCATGAATAAGACACCCCCCACTTTTCAAACCCCAAATTAAGAAATCTAAGTGGGGCTTAGCAAGTGTAGGGGGAAAGGGATCAAAGTACTGTAGGATCGCTTTGATCCCTGCTTTCCCCTCCACTTGTTTTTGTTCTCTCCTCAGCTTACTTCCGTGTATAAGACGAGCCTCAATTTTTTAGCCTAAAGATTTGAGTCAGAAGTATAGTCTTATACACAGAAAAATACGGTATGTCCTTAGAAAACACTGGGTTGACATATTCTTAGAATTGCAGAGCTGGAAGGGACCCAGTGGATCACTGAATACAGCCCGTCAACAATGCGCAGTGGGGAATCAAACTCCCAACCCCTTGTTCCACAGTCAGATACCTAAACAACTAAGCGATCCAGCCATTCTCACCACGGAATTGTGTAATCAGAAGTTATTTTACCATCCCATTCTTCTGGGGTCGCTTTGAGACTGTGCAGATTGCCCAAGGTCACACAGACGACTGACTGGCTCTTCTCCTGGGAGACACAGTGGATGCCGAAGGTCACACAGAGGACTGACTGCCTCTTCTGGGAGGCACAGTGGAGAATGGAATTCCTAACCCCTGAGCCATTTGGTTGTCAGAAGAGAGTATAGCACTCCTTAAAAATGCTAATGTTCCCAGCTTGCTCATGTACGTGTCAAGATTGTCTGCTGTTGCTCTCCATGTGCCTACACCATCGGGATTAAGCTAAATGCTGAAAAGAGAGAAAATGTCCTCATTTGCAACACCCTGCCTCATTAGCGGAGGCAGAGAGAAAGTGTGTCTGTATGTAGTTGTGATTTTAGCTCCTGCACCCCTGTCTGCATCTCCCTCCCTGATGAAGCAAGATCTCATGTCAACTTTGCTATCTCAGGGGCAGAAGGTTTTTAAAAAGATTCTTCCAGATGTGCAGATTATGCTATGAAGAATACCTTTGAAAATGCTGCATTTTGCTGCTGTTTAGTCGTATTTATATTTTGCTGTGTGTTTTTGTTTTAACGTGTCATAATCTACTCACAGAACAAGTAATGAAGGCTGGTATGTATGCACTGTAAAAGTAAGCAAATAAATGAAAACTCCATATATGTGGCGGGTGAAGCATCTCATATTGACTGTGCAAACAGAAAATGTTTGCGTGAACTCTTGTATGCAACTGGGTAAAGAAAGCCTACATAAGGTGTTAGTCCAGACATGCCCATGCTGGGCCATTTGCCTGCAGTACACTTGGAGAGGGACGTAGTGGCACTGCGGGTTAAACCGCAGACGCCTCTGTGCTGCAAGGTTGGAAGACCAGCTATCGTAAGATCGAATCCATGCAACGGAGTGAGCTCCCGTCCCTTTGTCCCAACTCCTGCCAACTTAGCTATTCGAAAGCATGCAAATAGTCGCGCTGGCCACGTGACCACAGAAAACTGTCTACAGACAAACGCTGGCTCTACGGGTTGGAGACGAGGGTGAGCACTGCACCCTATAGTCGGACACGACTGGACTAAATGTCTAGGGGAACCTTTACTTTACACTTGGGTTATCCATGGACCTCGTCTGAGAGAGGTTTGGAGGATGATGACAAAGGAGAGGGGCTTTTTGATTTGAGGCTCCCACTTGTGGATTGCATTTTTCCAGGCTGGTCCCAACATTTTCATCTTCCGAGTGCTAGTTGAAGACATTTTTCTACCCCCAGGCATTTGATAAAGCATAATTATGAGATTTTTAAATACACTGTCTTTATGCCACTTAATAAACCTTATAATTGGTTGATCCTTGGGGTGGGGAAACACAGCTATAACATGTGTTTTCCCCAACCTAAATCTAGTTGTTAATTCCTAACTAAAGAACAACCCACAGTGGAATTTACACTATTGTCTGTTTTCCAAATCTCCATTCATTCAGCAGTGTAGTCAAAATAAAAAACTGGAGTTGATTTTTGTTTTTAACTTTTGTAGATTTTTGTATGGTTCAGTTCACTTATGTATAATTAAATTAGAGGGTTCTTTTTTCTGAGGAGAAAAGTGTGCTGAGAAACATTATACTAACAATGTTAGCTAGTCCTGGTATAGGAAGAAATGTAGAATAGCATACTAATAGCTATTCTGGATTACATCTGTGGGGGTTGTATGGACGGGATTAGAGATGGGCACGAATCCGCAGTTTGTGCTGGTTTGTTTAGCACCATAATAGGTGTTTGGTGGTTCAGTGCTGCGCCTCCTCTGGCAGGCACCCACTTGGGCTTCCCTGCCCTGCCTCCTCCAGCGGGTGCTCCGCCTCCTCTGGCTGGCACCCATTCAGAAGCAACATCCGGGCTGCCCTGCCCTGCCTCCTCCAGCAACTGTTTCTGAGTGGGCACCTGCCAGAGGAGGCAGTACTCTGAACTGCCAAAACACCTGTGGTGGCAGTAAAACGAACCGGCTTGAACCCCATAACCAGCAGTTCGTGCCAATCTCTCGACTGGATTCTCCAGCATGCAGTCACTGGTTAAATGCAATATCTTACTGGTACTAACTTTATTTCCACTAGGAAAAAAAGCAAAAAGCTGAAGAGGAGGAGAGGGTTCCATCTCCGCTGCCCCTTTCCAGCAGAATTGCACACGAAGGAGGGGCTTATCGGCCTGGCAGCCCCCAAGGGGAACGGCTTTCAGAGCCCAAGCCTTGCACTAAAGTGAAGGAAGAAGAAAAAAATGGGAAGGATGCCCCGGAGAAAGCGCGCGCCGTTGATAATGAAGGACCCCCATCAGCACCTGCGTCAAAGCCTGCGACACAGGTGGACGAATCCAGAGAAGGTTTGAAGGGGGAAAAAGAGGTGGGAGAAACCAGAGAGTCAGAAACGGCAACCTCTAGCCCGTCAGTGAGTCGTGCTCCTAGCGCGCCTTTGCCATTGGGGCCGGACCCAGCGACTGCGAATGAGTGCTCTGTAAAGCACCCAGTTCCCCTGCCTGATTCCGCAGAGGTTCTCGCCACCGCCTCTGTCCCCGATGAAGAACGCGTCCAGACCTCCGGTTTCAAAACGCTGTATCCAAAGCTGCCCTTGGAGTTGTTCAGCGAGAGGTTGTCCGATCTTTCCCTGGAGCCCCCCGTCCCGAAGAGGAGGCTCTATCCGGAGATCCCGGCGGAACCCGAGCTGGCCCCGTTCACCAAAGAGCAGCTGAAGGTCTTCGAGCCGGGCTCTTGGCTGGAGAACGTCAACGCCTACGTGGAGGAGTTTGGGAGCCTCGCACACCAAGACCGACACGAGTTCTTTGAGCTGCTGCTGAACTATTGCCGCTGCCGGAAACAGCTGCTGCTGGCGGAGGCGGAGCAGCAGGCCTTAGCCGCCGACTGCCGAAACACCAAAGGGCGCCTGTGGACGTTTCAGGACGAGCAGCAGTCTGTCCAGGTGCCGTGTGGGTATTTTGTTTCTAAGAGGCTCACGAACAGAGCGCGACTTACGCTGTTGTTCGTTTTGCAGATCTCCATTCGTTCAGCAGTGTAATCAAAACGGGAAAACTGGAGTTGAAGCTTTGTTTGTAACTTTGGTATATTTTTGGTATCTCTTAATTAACTTTTGTATATTTAAATTAGTGGGCACCTTTGTCCTTTTCTCAGAAAAAAAAAGTGTTCTGAGAAACATTATAACAACAACAGTGTTACCTGTGCCGGGTGTAGCAGAAGTAGAATAGCATAGGTGATGATGGGAAAAGGCTGGTTTTTATTCTCCTCTCCCAGAACTCCTGACGTATGGAAAGTACAGTGGTGCCTCGCTTAACGATGATAATCTGTTCCAAGAAAATCACCGTTAAGTGAAAACATCGTAAAGCGAAAATAAAAACCCCATTGAAACGCATTGAAACCCATTCAACGCATTCCAATGGGGTAAAAACTCACCGTCCAGCGAAGATCCTCCATACGGTGGCCATTTTCCCTGCCTGTATAGCGAGGAATCCAATCCTAGAAAACAGTGGGGGGCCATTTTGAAAACCGGTGGCCATTTTGAAGCTGCCAATCAGCTGTTTAAAAAACATCATTTTGCGAAGAATTGGTTCCCGAAACAGGGAACCGATCATCGCAAAGCGAAATTCCCCCATTTAGACCATCGTTTTGCGATTGCAAAAAGATCATCGTAAAGCAGATTCGTCGTAATTCGGGGCAATCGTTAAGTGAGGCACCACTGTAACTGGGTGGGGCAGAATATGTCTGTTTCATATCTTTAAAGGTCAGGATTCTTTAGATCAGTGATCCCCAGCCTTGGGATCCTCAGATGTTCTTGACTGCAAGTCCCAGAAGCCTTCACCACTAGCTGTGCTGGCTGGAGTTGCAGGTCAAATACATCTGAGTAACAAAGGTTAAGAACCACTGCTTTAGATCAGTGATTCCCAGCCTTGGGATCCTCAGATGTTCTTGGACCACAAATCCCAGAAGTCCTGGCCAGCCCAGCTGGTAGCAGAGGCTTCTGGGAGTTATAGTCCAAGAACGCCTGAGGACTCCAGTTTGGGAACGGTGATCCTTTTGAGACAGAGCCAGTTGGTGTGCCCTTGTAAGATGGAGGACTCCAGTTTGGGAACCCTTGCTGTAGATGTTCTGGGCTACAGTAGCCATCCTCTTTGACTGTTGTCCATGCAAGGTCGTTCTTCTCGATCTGAAGAGTGACAGCTCTGAAGGGTCAAGGTTCCCGACGCCTGCTTTATGGCAGACTGAGTGAACGAACCCACAGCCGTTCTTTCCTTGGGAATGAGGTGACCTTGGGGAGGAGGTCTAGCCCAGCTGTAGAATTCTTGTTTGGAACCCAGAAGATCCCGGCTTCGGTCTGCAGCAGCTCCAGGCGGGGCTAGGAACAAATTCTCCCGGAGAGCCGTGGCTGGTCAGAGTTGGCGTGGCTGAGCTGGGCTAGTTAGACCAAGAGTTTGATCCCGTCGAAGGCCGTTCCCTGTACCGATTCATGTCCTTCCAAGAAATGGAACCCGTGCACCCTTACGGTCTGTACCCGACCCAAGAGCTACCGAACAATTTAGTAAAAGACATCTGTACGTGTCTAGGGGTTGTTTTGTTGCCTCTCATCTCTAGCAGCCCATCGGCTTATCTGCGGGCAACACCTGGTTACTGGTGGTGGTCACTCAGCAAGTGAGTACATGCAAGGGTGATTTCCTCAGGTAGGGACACCAAGAAAGGACCACAACAGATATTGTTAAGTTTTTTTTTTTTAAAAAAAGTTCTTTGGCTCGGCTCCATGTTCTCCACACGGAACGGTGATCCTTTTGAGATAGAGCCAGTTGGTGTGCCCTTGTAAGATGGGTGATTCTTCAGGACATGTGTTGTGACTGATTGATGGCAGGTGATAGTTTAAAAATACCGTGCATTGGTGGTAAACAATCATCTTGTGTATGTGCACAGGTTTTGGGCTGGATTTGATCACGGCGGATCTCGGGACTCGGGGGGGGCGGCATGTGGGGGGTCACCCAAATGTTGTTGGAGTATCGGTTCCATCCGCCATTGGCAGGGCCGATGGGAGCTGCAGTTCAACAGCCTTGTGGAGCAGCCGCTCACAGATGGAATGAGGCATCTTTAAAATGGAGATTCTGCATCGCCCCCCCCCTTTTTTCTTGGCATGGCTTCTCTTCAGTGGACGGTTCTCACGTTTTGAATGACAACCTCCGTTCCTTCCCTTGCAGGCAGTGTGTGCTGACCAGTGCAAAGTGTCCGGCCATCATCGTTACCAGACGGTCGCGATGAACGAGGGGGCCTTGGGGGACCTGAAGCGTCTCTTTGAGACCCAGGCTGAGCACGTCCATCAGACTCTGGCCTTGCACTGTTACACCTCCGTGTTGTCCCGCCTGCAGGTGGAGTCTTACCTTTACGGACTGCTCAGTGGCTCTCCCTCACTGAGGGCCATGGGCGTCCAGCAGGAAGAACCAGGTTTGTGTCCCTTAGCTCGGTTGCCGCGTCCCGTGGGAGGAGTCGGCAAGACGTTACGCCCTGTGGGTGTGGTGTGGGGGTTCTCGGTTCCAAAAAAAACAGTGCTTTTCTGCTGCTTTTTTAATTTTAGTTTTAAAAACAAAAAAAAATTACAACAACAGAAAATACAAAGAATACAAAGAATAATGTTTATAATACACTAAATTCTACCGTGCACCCCATACCATGGGACCCCATTGACCAATATTTTTATTACAAACTTCCTTTCCAAAATTGTATAGATTGTTGTTTAGAGGCTTTCCCCTTTCCTTTCACTAACACAAATTCAACAAATCTACCTCAAATAGCATAAAAATATTGGAACTTATTTCCCCTCTTTTCATCTTGAGTTTACTAGTCAGTTTATCATTTAATGCGATGTCCCATACTTCACCATACTTAATATCATTCTAATTTAATATCATTTTTATTTCTAACCTCTTTGCCTGTTTCTGCTCGTCGAAGAGAGGAGAAATGAGTTATTTGTAGCAAGGAGGTAATGGCTATCCCATTGTTTGCTTACAGCTGCTTTGGTGAGGTAGAGCCAGCCTGAACAGAATTTGAACCTGGGCCTTCATGACCCAAACCCAAATACAACATTCCAGACTGTGAAGGTTATCTCTCACTAGCGATCCACAACATTTGGCTAACCTTGGTAAGCGCCTGAAAGTGGTGCTTGACACCACCAGCAGCACGAGATCTTTTTTCTTGACACAACAACGCAGTGAGGTGCGCTGAACTAAAAGGTGGCAACTCGATTAAGGCCGTTGAGCAATTTTTAGGGCTGAATGGGGACTGAACCCGGCACACACTTGTGGCCCTTATGTTTCACCCTTTTAAAACTCTTTTATATATATGTATTTTCTTATGCCTCCCCTCTTCTCTACAGCCCTTAAAGAAGGAGAAAGCACATCCTCAGACCTGGGCGCCTTGAAAGAATGCATCAGTGTACTCTTCAGTTTCACCCGCAGACTCGTTGAAGACGCGCAGTTCCAGAACGATGTTCTCTTGTGGCTCCGGAGGCTGGTGAGCGACCAAACGGCGAGAGTTCTGTCCCCAAAAGTTGGTTCTCCAGGCAAAGAGAACCGACCCTGTGCACAGTGGGATGGGCCCACTTGGTTTTGCTTTTGTGTTCTGTTCTGCTTCCAACGCCCAGAATACTCCCAAGCGCTCGCCAGGCAGAATGCTGGGAGTTCCAGTCCACAGACCCTCACTTACAGACGGCTCAGTTTTGCTCGCCTGGACCAAGGTCTGTTGACAAAGCTGCATGACTGTCTTTGGTGTGTACTTCCTGTTCTTCAGGTACGGAAAAGGAAACGGCCATGGTCCTTTCTGGGAGTCATAGTTCTTTGGGAGGTGTCCTCCATAAAACCTGAAGGACAGCATGACCACCCCAGAAAGTAGTGCAACAGCTTCCTTTTTCTTATATATACAACAGGAAGTACAGTCCTGATACTGCCGTACAGCCGCGGGGATAACCTCTAGTCCAGGTTTGCCAAACGTAGGTGCATGTAAGTGTGAGTCTGTGGACTGGAACTCCCAGAATTCTGCACGTGCCATTCTTGGAGAAATCTGGGAGCTGGAATCCAAAAAAGCCAAATGACTCCCTCTCTATTTGTTATTTTATAGAGAGGGAGTCCCTCATTTTACCTGGTGGAGCTGATGAGAGCATTTTGTATATTGTTAAGAATTACTGATGGTTGTATAGGCAATAGTTTTCAGATAACATATCATTAAAAAGCCGACTATATATAGAATTGCTGGCTAGCTCAGTGGTTTAGGTGTCCTGACTGCAGAGGCAGAAGCTGAGAATTCAGTTCCGTCACTTGATGGTGGTTGGATTTGAAGATCCATAAGATCTCTTCCACCTCTGCAGTACAAAGAATGTTATTAAATAACAATTTTGGTGTTTTTTTCTTTAAAAAGCAGTGCATTAAATGCAGCAAAAGCTAAAACAGGCATTATTATTGTACAGTGGTGCCTCGCTAGACAGTTACCCCGCATGACAGTTTTTTCACTAGACATTGACTTTTTGCAATCGCTATAGCGATTCGCGAAACAGTGATTTCTATGGGGGAATTTCGCTGGACAATGTTTGGTCCTTGCTTGGCAAACCAATTTTCGCTTGACAGTGATATTGACAGCTCCCTCCATGCTCGCAAAATGGGTGTTTTCCGGACCTAAGCTTCGCAAGACAGCGATTTAAACAGCTGATTGGTGGTTTGCAAAGCGGCTTTCCTATGGCCGATCTTCGCTAGACAATGACGATTCTTCCCCATTGGAACGCATTAAACAGGTTTCAATGCATTCCAATGGGGAAATGCTTTTCGCTAGACGATGATTTCTCTAAACAGCGATTTCAGTGGAACGGATTATCATCCTCTAGCGAGGCACCACTGTATAATAATCCCCTCCACAGTATCCTTCATTTCACTTGACAAGACTTAACAGTCATGGCCAAAAATATTGGCACCCTTGCAATTCTGTCAGAAAATGCAACCCTTCTCTCAGAAAACTGTTGCAGTTGCAAATGTATTGGTACTCACATGTTCATTTCTTTGGTTTGCATTGGAACAACACACACACACAAAGAGAAGAAAAGTCAAATCTGATACAGTCCCACACAGAAACCCCCAAAAATGCACTGGACAAAATTATTGGCACCCTGTCTAAATTGTGAGAAATCATTGCTTTTTAAGAATGTGATGCTCCTTTGATTCATATTTAGATACACCTGTTGCAAGTAAAAGGTGTGGGCAATATAGTAATCACACTTGCAACCAGTTAAGATGGAGCAACGTTGACTCAACCTTTGTGTTGTGTGTGATGCTGAGCATGGAGAAAAGAATGAAGCATAAAGAGTTGTCTGTGGATTTGAGAGAAAAAAAAATTGTGGAAAAACATTGACAATCTTGAGGCTACAAGTCCATCTCCAGAGATCTTAATGATCCCGTGTCCACTGGGCGCAATATCATCAAGAGGTTTACAGCTCATGGCATTGTAGCTTACCTTCCTGGACTTGGATGGAAGAGCCAAATTACTGAGAAATGATAAGGATGGGTTATTTGAAGGGTGGATATAGAACCCAGATTAACTTCCAAACCAATTCAAGCTGATATTCAGACACATGGTACAACTGTGTCAGTGGGCAGGCGTCTGTGTGTGCGTGTGTATGCGTGCAGGAGTATGTCTGTGCATGCATGGGTGGGGGGTGTTCATGCATGGAAGTGTGTCCGTGCGTGCATGTGGGGGGGAGGGCTGTCCATGTGTGCATGGGTGGGGGGCGTACATGCATCCGTGTATGTGTGTGGGTGGGTGTGCATGCATGCGGGAGGGCATGTGTGTGTCCATGTGTGCATGTGGGAGGGTGTGTGTGCATCTGTGCATGTAGAGGGGGCGGGAGATCTGTCTCCGCAGCCCAGTCCTGCCAAGGCCATGGACCAGTACAGGGCTGCAGACTGGGGGTTGGGGACCCCTGGACTCAAGGACCAAAGATGACTCATTGCAGAGCAGTTGTATGTGTATGATTCTGGGCAGAGTGAAAATTCCCACCCTCGTTTATCTTTGTGTGTTTTGGTTTGGAATGGAAGGTGCTGTTGATCGTATTAAATGAAGAAACCTTGTTTGGCCCCGGGGAGTAGACACCACAAGAAAACTTACAATGCCTCAAGGTGTTTTACTGGGAATAGGTTTTGGGGGCTACAGTGCACAAAAGCTTCCAGCTAACAAAAGCGTGTGAGTCTTTAGGGTATTGCAAGAGTCCTCATTGGTTTGGTCCTACTGGCGGACGTGGCTACCTGTCTGGAAATGTCCAAAGTGGCTTTAGGTAAGCAGAACTCTGGATAAAGGATATTAACCTCAGAGCTCAAACCATAAACCCAGCGGTTCCCAACCTAGGGTAACCCAGGGGTTCCGGTTTTAGCAGAGGTTCCCAGGGAACTTGGCCGTTGATCGGAAAATGACAGAGGTGGTTATCTAGCAACGTAGGGGAGGCCTTTCTCTGCAGCTTCTGTGTAGCACTGATGCACAGAAAAGAATCATAAAAATGACCATAGAAAGAAAATTAGGGTGGGGTGGCTGTGTCTGTTTCGCCTCAACCATGACGGTGGGTGTCTTTCCTTCTTTGGATTCCCATTGGAAATGTCTCCCTTGCCTTCAGGTATCGGTCTTGCAGAGGGTTGGCTCTCCAGGGGACCATCTTTTCCTTTTGAATCACATCCTCCGTTGCCCGGCTGGCGTCAGCAAATGGGCTGTCCCGTTCATTCAGGTGCGACTGTTAATCTTCCCTTTATGATGATGTGCTGGAGGTCTTGTACCTATGTTGGCGACAGTTTTCCTGCGTGTGGAGGCCGATGCAATGGAATGCTTTTCAGGAGCTTAAAAACTCCCTGATGCATGTGGAAATGTGGCATGTTGGGGAGAGAGAACCCAGTCTTAAGAGATCCAGCAACAGCAAATTCAAATATCCGACTGAGAGGAGAGACGTTAGCACTTTTCAAATACTTGCAAGATAGTCATACAGAAAAGGGGCAGGATCTGTTCTCGATCATCCTAGAGTGAAGATCACATAATAATGGGCTCAAGCGACAGGAAGTCAGATTTTGGCTGAATATGAGGAAAAACCTCTTAGGCCTGGGCAAAGCGTGGCCCGAGGGCCACATACGGCCCGCCGGTCGTCACTCCAGTCCAGTGTTCAAGCACTTGTTCAAGCCCAAGACAGGCTGGATTTCCCTCACTAAACAAGTTGAACATCAGAAGCATTTGTAGCTTTTTGTCTAAAGTTGATCAGTTGCTTATCTTTAACATACCGCAAAAAACCTCTTTAGTATTTGTGAAGATTAACAAGTTTAAAACAAAAACTATCATAACATCACTGTTTCATTTTATTTTTAAGTAAAGTTGGTTCGGCCCCCGAACACAGTTCAGATTTTTCATGTGCCCCCCTATAGAAATGAATTGCTCACCCCTGTTTAACTGTTAGAACAGTACAACAACGGAATCCATGACTTCAGGAGGTGGTGAGTGCTCCAACGCTGGAAGCCTTCAAGAGAAAACTGGACCACTCTCTGCCAGATCTGCTTTGATTTGGATTCTTGCCTTGAGCAGGGGTTTGGATTCCTTCCAACTCAGTTATTCTGCGATTTTTATGATCTAGAAGGGGAAACCAAGGCAGATGCATCCTCCTGGGAACATATTGTTTTATAGCGAATGGAGAAGAGGGAAGATAACAAAAATTTTGGATACTTCCTTGCATATAGAAATGTAATATTCTTTTCAAATAAAAGGGGTTGAGTCCTGGCTTTTCCCCCCAGTGTGCTAATTTTCTGCTCAAAATGAGTTTTCTCTCTTAAGTGTGATTCACCTCTGCCATAGAAGAGGTCCCTTTGGGGGTGGATTGCACTGTATGATCTTTTTCTGCACCATTTCCACTGTGTGCTCAATACCGTGACGATTGCCGAAACGTTGATTGCCGGTAGTCCCTTACATCTCAGTAAATGAACTTCACGGTGTGGCTATTTGACTGTTCTCAGAATAATGTAGTAATGATTCTCGATTCTGTATTAATGCCAAGTTTTTAAAAACTCATGTTTCTCGCTTATTTTCAGATTCAGGTTCTGGGCAACCCTTCTGGCGTCTTTCATTTTATGCAGTCGCTCGCCTTGTTTATGTCCCCTGCCAAGTACGTATTAGAGGGGTAGGGGAGATTGAGAGAGAAAGAGAGAGAGAGAGAGTTTATGTCTCCTGCCAAGTAAGTATTAGAGGGGTAGGGGAGATTGATATATATAGAGAGAAAAAATATAGCTTCAGAGGCTAGGAATGTTTTGCTTAGCTATATAGAGAAGATTGCAAAACTGGGACCATTCCCCCCCCCAATAGGGAGAAATATGTGGCATGCTCTGTTGATGTGCCCATGTTTACTTTATGGATTTGCCAGATTGCTCCTGCCAAGTAAGTATTAGAGGGGTAGGGGAGATTGATATATATAGAGAGAAAAAATATAGCTTCAGAGGCTAGGAATGTTTTGCTTAGCTATATAGAGAAGATTGCAAAACTGGGACCATTCCCCCCCCCAATAGGGAGAAATATGTGGCATGCTCTGTTGATGTGCCCATGTTTACTTTATGGATTTGCCAGATTGCTTTCAAACTAGAGATGGGGGTATCCCCGCACAGGTGTCGTTAACGAGGGTCCAGTTCCATGGACCCGGATAGTCCACTCACCCATCTGCCACGGATGTGGAGGGTGCGATTCTACCAATGGCTCTGCACGATGTGGAGGGCGCGATTCTACCAATGGCAGTGCACGATCTGCTCGCCACTCTTCGACCTTACAGTGAGGCTTGTCCTCCCACCTCCAGCCAGGAGTGGTGAGCAGACCGCGCGCTGTGGAGCCATCGGTAGAATCGCTCCGTCCACATCCACGGTGGATCGGTGAGTGGACCCTCCATCCCCATGGGGCTGGACCCTCGTGAATGCCACCTATGCGGGGGTATTCGTATATGAATACCTCCATCTCACGGTGAGTGGACCCTCCATCCCGATGGGGCTGGACCCTCGTGAACGCCACCTATGCGGGTGTATTCGTATATGAATACCTCCATCTCTATTTCAAACCCTCCAGTGAAATGAAAGGCAGAAACGGGTTTCACCTGTCCGTTTCCACCTGTTCTCCCTCTGCCTGACCTGGCAAGGGCTCCAGATGAGGAACAGAAAGAGAGAGGCAGGAGAGTAGGTGAGGAAGCTGCCCTCCCAGTTTTGGGGAGATCTCATGGTGGACCACTCGTGGAGCTCTGGATGACGATCCGGTCAGCCGTGATGTTTCAAGAGGAAGCCCTCCGTTAATTCAGGATGTAGAAACAAAGATTTGCCCAGCAGATGATAAGAACATTGAATCATAACTGAGATCAGATATCATGGATTTTTTTTTGCCTTCATTTGTTCCTAGTTTGTTGCCACGCTCAGTTCAAGGTGTTGGTTTTAAACTGAAAACCAAGCACCTTTTAGGGACTTCAGAAGAAGTCAGTGCGCCACAGCAGGTCATGTTTTCATCTCACTCCTCTGAATACACCCAGCCTTTCCTGATTTTGAATGTACAGTGGTGCCTCGCATTACGACGTTAATTCGTTCCAGCGAAATCGCTGTAGAACGAAAACGTAATGCAAAAATAAAAAGCCCATTGAAACGCATTGAAACCCCTTCAATGTGTTCCAATGGGCTGGAAACTCACAGTCCAGCGAAGATCCTCCATAGGCCGGCCATTTTCGGTGCCTGTGCAGCGAGGAATCCATCCCAAAAACCAGCGGGGAACCATTTTATTTACCCGGTGGCCATTTTGAAACCGCCGATCAGCTGTCTGAATATCATCGTTTTGCGAAGAATCGGTTCCCGAAGCAGGGAACTGATCATTGCAAAGCGGAAAATCCATATTCAGACCATCATTTTGCGATCGCAACTGCGATTGCAAAAAGATCATCGTAATGCGGTTTCATCGTAATGCGGGGCAGTCGTAAAGTGGGCACGACTAGTTTGTGTTGAATGGGAAACTGGATGAAAATAGCAGGCAGTCTGCAGTTGGCTCAAGAGAGAATCCTGCCCCAAACCTTGGACGGGTTGCTGCCAGTCAGGATTGCTATTACTGATCTAGATAGACTATGGGGGTGACTCATTATGATCCAGTTCTCCTGTGTTCCTGTGCCCTCTTAAGAAAAACTGTGCCCAGTGGCATACCAGCTTTTAGTTTATGCTTTGCTGTCTGCTGTGCAACCATTTCCTGGAACATAATCAACACAGTCCAGTTTTCAAAATTTAGGGGAAATGGCAGGAGTCGTCTCACCTTAGAAAGCCAGGGAGGGCAGTAGACAGCCAGCAGCACAGATGGGGGGGCCTACTTGTGTAGTTGCCTACCTGCGCTGTGCCGATCCAGTGGAATTCTGGAATTCACCCATGTTGGTACCCACACTTAACAGGCACACACCTCCAGGTTCTCAGATATGCCCTCTTTTTTTCCCTTGGACCACCCAGATCAATCTTCTGGATTGCTCTTCTGAGTGAGGTGGAAGCTTTCCCCACGCGCTACTGGGATCCGTGTTAGGAGAGACAACTTTATCCTCACCCTTCCTTCCAGCAAGCAGTTCTGCTGTCACCCCACTTGGTTTCAAAGTTATCTTTATGAATATCTTTCTCCAGTCTTACGCTGTGTCCCCTAGGACAGTGGTCCCCAACCTTGGGCCTCCAGATGTTCTTGGACTACAACTCCCAGAAGCCTTCAGCACCACCTCTGCTGGCCAGGATTTCTGGGAGTTGAAGTCCAAGAACATCTGGAGACCCAAGGTTGGGGACCACTGCCCTAGGAGACCACGCACAACTTCCAAAACATTGTTTCCACTGGGCAATTCAGACATATTTTCCTTGTACTGGGGCTTCCTGTGCTTTAGACGTGAACAGAAATGTTGATGCGGTAGAGGATTGGTCCCTCTGTCCTGGGTTATTCATGGAGACTCTCCCTTTTCTGGTATGTCACAATGCTTTTTGTGACGCTTTGCTTTTTGTGATCTACAGAAATCGAGCAGAATTCATGTGCCATATGAAGCCAAGTGAACGGAAGGCCAGCTCCTCCTTTGGGCAGGAATCTGGAAACTGGACCTTAGTTGATGAAGGTGGAGAAGAGGTACCTTTAAAATATGTTTTTTGTCGTTGAGACTCACAGCTAGTGTTTCTCAAGGAAATGGGAAAAAGGAGGATGTATACTTTTCTGTTAGGACAGGTACATTGTTAGTTTTCCTCTTAATTACTGCTGCTCCTGACAGGAGAAAACAGAGTTTCCAAGGTGGTTTCCAAGTTTCAGAAGAGGAAGATATGGAGGCAGTGGCATATTTGACTTTCTTGGGCTCCATGATCATTGCAGATGGGGATAGCAGCCACGAAATTAAAAGACGCCTGCTTCTTGGGACGAAAGTGATGACAAACCTAGACAGCATCTTAAAAAGCAGAGACCTCACCTTGCCGACAAAGGTCCGCATAGTCAAAGCTATGGCTTTTCCAGTAGTGATGTATGCAAGTGAGAGCTGGACCATAGAGAAGGCTGACTGCTGAAGAATGGATGCTTTTGAATTGTGATGCTGGAGGAGACTCTTGAGAGTCCCCTAGACTACAAGGAGAACAAACCTATCTATTCTTAAGGAAATCAACCCTGAATGCTCACTGGAAGGACAGATCTTGAAGCTGAGGCTCCAATCCTTTGGCCATCTCATGAGAAGAGAAGAATCCTTGGAAAAGACCCTGATGTTGGGAAAGTGTGAAGGCAAGAGGAGAAGGGGACGACAGAGGATGAGATGGTTGGACAGTGTCTGCGAAGTAACCAACATGACGCGACTTAACAACTAAACAACAACAACAAAGTTGTGTTCCTCCCATCAGGTGGATTTCTGGAAGCCTTGGTGATACTGATCTTTTTTTTAAAAAAATATTGTTTTCTGGCAATGCACATTCTGGTTTAGAGGATGAGCGAAAAGGTCTGGCTTCGAATTGGCCTGTCTTCAGATTTCCAGAGTTCACTTTATATTTTAAAACTAAGTTCCATCTGCTCTCCTCGATGCACTTGGTGAGAATGAATTGGCGGTAAATGTAAAACAGTTGATCACATTACGCCATTTTTGCTGCTAATCCAAGTTGCAGGTTCTAATACACTACTCTAAAACTGGTGTAGAGCTCTGTGGTTTAGGCTTCCGGCTATGGAGCCAGAAGCTGGCAGTTCAACTGTGCCTCCTTAAGAGGAGCTGGGTTCGAGGATGCCTCGGGTCCCTTCCAGCTCTGCAGTTCTAAGATGAAGAGTTAATAGGTATATTTTACAACTAAAGGCTATAACAGGAACAACTAGCGTGAAGTCAGCTCTGTCAGAGAATGTTTAAATCTGAAGTTTGGTTTACTGTAGTTAAAACTCATTTTGAGAGTGAGAAACCTTTCCCATTCTGAGTGTCCGTTCTCCCTGTTCAGCAGAAGTCAATCCAAATCAAACCATCTTAAGAATGATGCAGGGATGATGGTTGATCCCTATGCTCTCCTTTACCATCGTCTTTAACCGTAGAAAAAGCAACCTGTTGGTTGGTTTTCTCTTGTTTTAGGATGAAGATCCGGATACCAGCTGGATCCTTCTTCTCGAAGACGACCTGATTGTACTTCTCTCCCAGTTCCCATTTCATGAACTGTTCCAGCATATTCTTGGCTTTGATTCTAAAGGTGAGCAAACGTTTGCAGCGGAAGGGAAGAGTGTGACACTCCCACCTTTTGGCCCCTAATCTGAAGTGGGTTGGGGTGGTGGTCAGCAAAAATAATCCACCCTCACCCGACTCCTGGACACCTTTTGTGTTAGGGCTCTAAACCCACCCCCATCCTCCAAAATCAAGGCCACAATAAGTCACTTCTGACTTGACGGCATGTAACAGAACAATGATCATTTGGTTAATGGGTTGGGTGAATGTAATCAGAAAGCTCAACTGCCCCCTGCTTTGTGCCTTACATGTCAACATTAATGATTCCTTTTCGAAAGTAGAGGACGTGCCTTTACTTCATAGGAAGGGGGGCAGGAACGGAAGGGGGAGTGTTGAAGCACAGCTCATTGGGTAGAACCAGCAACTGGAGTGGTAGTGAAACCTAAAAAAGCTGCTTGACTTTAGGAGGCGATAACGTCCCTGAATAGTAGCTGCATGCAGAGGTCTTCTGCAAGTGTTAAGAGCATGTTGGTTTGCTTGTACTTCTCCAACGTGTTTTCTGTTGCACAGGTTTCTATGTTCCTGAGAAGACCACACCCCATGAGATGATGAGGATCTTTGCCTTTGCAAACTCTTTACTGGAGCTTCTAGCAGTGGGGCTGGAGACCTTTAACCGAGCCCGTTACAGGCAGTTTGTGAAAAGAATTGGCCGTCTGATAAGGCAAGAAGCTTTCCTCCCCTGATGGTCCTCCATGCAGGGCTGAGTGGCAATGATGTGGGGTGTTGGAGAAAGCCGCTGATCTGCCAGTTGGGAGTTGGGAGGCGTTATTTTCTTGGACTACACTGGCCATGACATTGGAGTTCTGAGCATTAGAGTCCAAAAATTACATTCCTAAGCTCTTCCTCAGCATGTCAGTTGCTCCTTGGGGTAGAAAGTCAATAAATAATGCCTGACTAAGGAGTGTGGCTGATCCAGATTGTCTTATAGTTGGCAGTCTATCGCCAACTATAACTTTTTACCTTACACTGAAGGTTTTTCCCCTTTGGGGAACTGTAGAAGTTAGAATTGCAACTGAAATGGTGTCTGCAGTTTTGTTAAAAGCCTTTAGTACCGTCTTCAGTCACTAGATGGCAGATTTTCTAGACTAGCACATAGGTTTGCAGCTGATCTTTTCATGTCAGTGAGGAGGGCCACCCCACCCCTCCCATGGGCATAGAATGGACAGACCCTACCATTATAGAATTGAGACGGCACCAGGGTGCAACTTGGTGACCTTAGCTTTATTTCCAACATTGTGTGTAAAATGTCCCCAACTCCACCTACAGTGTAACATTTCTTGAAAGTTTTGTTGTCACAAAAGTGACTATAACTATTATTTCAGCCCTTATGGGGCCAGCTATTGTGATCTAGTATTAAAAATAAACCGAGAGGTACCCATTAAATGTGAGAAGGGCAATCACTCATGACATTGCTTTTATTTTGGCTTCTGTTCTAAGTTGTTTTAAGTATTACTAAAATTATGCTTTTAAGCACTGGCTTAAAAGCGGGTCCCTTGTATCCGTCCCCTGTCCCCCCCCATGTCATTGATGTCCCAACTCATCCCTACCCTATCTGGAAGCTTCCGTATTTATCTAACCAGTTACTTTTGGATGAAGAGGCTGAACATGAAACATAGGAAGCTTATCTTAGATTGATTTAGACTATTAGTGCATCCAGCTCAGAATCATCTACATGGCCAGCTTCATGTCTCCCATGAATAGTCTGAAGTAGAGATCGCCATTGACCTCTTATTTTTTTTTGTCTGAAGAGGTGTTTGCCGACTTCCTAGCCCTGCCTCCTCTGGCAGGCAGCCACCCAAAGGTAGTGCCTGGGGGAGGCGGGGCAGGGAAGCCAAGGCATTACCTCTGACTTGTTGCCTGCTGCAGGAGGAGGAGGAGCCAGGAAACCCCGGAGACCTCTTCACATGAAAACGGAACCGGCATGAAACCAGCAGTTTGTGCCCATCTCTAGTTTGAAGGCGTTCGGTTTTTGCTTCATGTGGGTTAACTTAGTTTCTTTTTTTCCACCTGATCTGGTAGAATGACCCTTTGCTACGTGAGTGATCACTGGGCCCAGTATGTCTACCATGCAAAAGACCATCGCTATGCGTCACAACCTTACTCTGTTGAGAAACTGCAAGTGGAATTTGATGAACTCTTTCTGAGGGCTGTTCTCCATGTGCTGAAAGCCAAAAGGTAAGGAGCCGTGGGTTGCAGTGGGCATTAAAGGCAGGTGAGCTGTGAAATCATGTGGGACAGAATGCTAGCGGTGGGATTTCAGGACGTAGCAGAACGAAATGTGGTTTTTGCAGCCTCTGGCTGTTTCCTGCCTTTCCCCATTATCCTCGGCCTTCCAACCTTTATTTGCCAAGTTAGGGTTTCTTTGTTTTTTTCATTTTTTTCCCTGCATTCTTCATCAGTACACTAATGCCTCCTGCTTGCCTCGCAACCAGTGGGATACCTATAGTTCTCCAAAATAAAAAATAAAAAATCAGGAAAAGGCCACATCGTCCCCAAAACAATACAAACGCAGAAACAGTTTGCCTCACAACCAGTGGAATACCTATCGTCGTTTAGTCTTTTAGTCGTGCCCGACTCTTCGTGACCCCATGGACCAGAGCACGCCAGGCCCTTCTATCTTCCACTGCCTCCCGGAGTTGTGTCAGATTCATGTTGGTTGCCTCGATGACATTGTCCAACCATCTCGTCCTCTGTCGTTCCCTTCTCCTCTTGCCTTCACATTTTCCCAACATCAAGGTCTTTTCCAGGGAGTCTTCTCTTCTCATGAGATGGCCAAAGTATTGGAGCCTCAGCTTCAGGATCTGTCCTTCCAGTGAGCACTCGGGGTTGATTTCCTTTAGAACTGATAGGTTTGTTCTCCTTGCAGTCCAGGGGATTCTCAAGAGCCTCCTCCAGCACCACAATTCAAAGGCATCAATTCTTCGGCGGTCAGCTTTCTTCATGGTCCAGCTCTCACTTCCATACATCACTACAATACCTATAGTTCTCCAAAATAAAAAATCAGGAAAAGGCCGCGTTGTCCCCAAAACAATACAAACGCAGAAACAGGTGATACCTTTATTTAGACCAGTAAAAAAATAAAACAAACAGCGAGCCTGAGGAAGATGAATGATCATCAAAAGCTTGCTATTTGGTTTTAATTTTTTTAGTGGGCCAATAAAGGTGTCACCTGCTCCTGCATTTATACATCACAGGTTTTTACCTACGTCCTGTTCCCTGGAATGACTTGGGTGACCATATATCTATTCAACTTCTTGAAAAATCCTTCCTTCCTTCCTTCCTTCCTTCCTTCCTTCCTTCTCTCTGAAAATAGCAAACTGTGTGGATACAGAAGTACAATAGCCCACATTCCTAAACCACAAGAGGCGTTTTTTTTTGGGGGGGGGGAATTTAGTTCTTTAGAGGTAATTTGCTGCTGTGACTTCATAAATGTATAGTGCCAGTAGGATTTTGGGCACTCTGTGTCTTTCGGTATTTCTCCAGAGTTTCATTTTTTGCCATACAATCAAATCTTTCTGCCAAGGTCGCTACCCAGGTTACTGTAAACAACACATTTCTTCTTGGCTTTCAAATTTGCACAGGCTGGGGGTGTGGCTGTTCATGTCGGAGATGCCGTACGGGACTCTGTCTGGAAACATGCTGTGGAAGCTTTTCTTTCTCATGCACTGTGCGGAGAGCGAGGAGCTGGAGAAGTTGTGCTGCACTGTGCAACTCGCAGACTGCAAGTGCCATCTCAAAGGTAGGGCTCCTTTTCCTCACCAGGGGGAAGGGGAGTGGAAGGAAGTTTTACATTAGGACGTTCGTAATCTGTGCATTTACCAGCGCTGATGATCTGTAATCAGGAGCATGGGAAGACATGCAAGTGGCTGATCAGTCTAAGAATAATTCCGTCTGTGCTCGAGCACTAAGTTACTCAAAGTGAAAAGGCAGAGGCAAGAGTCAGGAACTTTATATAGACATTGAATGGAATTCGTTGCCGTCTGAGTGGATAACTGCAGTACCACTTTCTGACCACCTGCAGGAGTGGCGCCAAAGTGCCCTGGAGAAAACCCCAGTAGCTCCATCTAACAACACATTGATCTTGGAGCGCTCCAGGTGTAACTCACACCTAGTGTGGCCGGTAGCCATGAAAAATGGGAATGATGAGAAATGTAGTCTGACACATCTGAAGAGCATGGGCGTGAGGAATGCACCTTGTTGCTTATGTCTCTTATGGAAGATTTTGCTTTTGTACATTTTTTTTAAAATAGTAGTCCACTCTACTGTCATAATCTGAATAGCTTAGGGGGAGTGGGCAACTCTGAAGGCTCTGAGATCCAATATTCTGCTCCAAGATCCTTCACAGTTTGTACTCGCCCTGAATGTGTGGTTTTAAGTAAAAAAAATAGCCACTTGCCGTTTTTGGAATTTAACCTCTTTCATTCATTTGAGGGCTTTTGTGGGTTTGGCAGCCTTGCACTTCCTTTTAGAGCAAAGCCACCGCTCTTAGTGAAGTGAGAAATAACCTCATTAAAGCTCCTCCCCCCAATTCGTTGTGTGTCTGGGGGCATTTTTTCAGCATCTGGCTGCCAGGGGACTTGAAATACTTTGGCTGAGACAGGCCACATTTTGTGCGCTTCTGGCTCAGAGGCATCTCCAGAAGGCTCCTTTGTGGGTTGGCCATGCTTTGGGCAAGGAAAACTGCTTTTAGGCGGCTTCCGACTCATTCTGAGCCAGTGAAAACTCTAGACCATGCATGTCCAACCTTGGCCCTCCAGATGTTCTTAAACTACAGCTCCCAGAAGCCTTCACCACCACCTCTGCTGGCCAGGATTTCTGGGAGTTGAAGTCCAAGAACATCTGGAGGGCCAAGATTGGACACCACTGCTCTAGACCAAGCGACCTGTGCCCTTCCACCCCTAAATGTCTGCAGGTAGAAAAGCCACATGTACCTCCTGGTCTTGCCAGATGCCTGGTGGGCAGCTTTGCGTGCTGGTGCAGAGGGTGAAAGGGCCGCTGAGGCTGCTCAGCTCTTCAGAAGCGTATGTCGCCCTTCTGTCCATCAGGACACACAGTGTCAAAATTGCACATTTCATGCGAGAAAGAAAACCCGCCCTCTCTTCTCGCCCCCGGCAGACCCAGCCCACTTGGAGAGCTTCGCAAAGTGTCTGCAAGCCCTGAATGGCTCCGAGGAGATCTGCCTGCTGACGACGTTTGCTCAGATGGCTCAGACGAAACGAGACGATGCGGATGAAGACTTTGTGAAGGTCATTGTGCTGGAGATCTACGAGGTGAGCGAAAGAAAGCTTGGGTGCTGAAGAGGCCGTGGAGAGGCAGGAGGGAGGCGTACGTAGGTCTTTGGGAAGGGACCACGGGGAGAAGAGAAGAGTGAGGAGAGATCAGATTAGCTCTTTACAAAGACTTGAAAGGCAGTCCTACAGAGGAAGGGCAGGATCTGTTCTCAGTCATCCTAGAGTGCAAGACATGTACGTAACAATGGGCTCAAGCTCCAGAAAACCAGATTAGAAAAAAACCCCTCTTAACTGTTAGAGCAGTACAACAATGGAATGAATGACCTCGGGAGGTGGTGAGTCCTCTAACGCTGGAGGCATTCAAGAGAAAACTGGACAACTCTCTGTCCGATCTGCTTGAATTTGAACTCCTACATTGAACAGGGTTTTGGACTTGATGGTCTTCTAGCCCCCTTCCAACTCATGGATTCTGTAATTCTGCGATTCATTCCGAGAGGGTGAGGCTGCACGATCACCCTCGCGCCAGTCTTGCTCTGTTGTGAGCTTACTGTGGATTCCTCCCTTTGTCCATCCCTTTTTGCAAACCGCAGTGTGCCAGCTTTGGAGCTCTTCCACCGTCCCATCTGTCATATGAAATGAATGCTGTTGTTTTGTTGATATAACCCTGTGCTAGTGGATTACAGCGCACAAGAGAACAAGTCTCTGTCTTGAGGAACTTAAAAGAGTTTTAAGATTCAGCACCAGGCAAACAACAGCAAAAGGGACGGGAGGAGAGGAGAGAGGCAAAGAGAATCAAGAAAGAAGGACCCTTGAGGAATTGGCACAGGCCGTTCATAGGCACCGTTGCTTGGATCTGCTCTGACATTTGTTGCTGTCGTTGGTACACATCCCATGGATGTAACTTTGGCCCCTGCTTGTCCCGTTATAATGGATATATTTCAATTAATGCAGGCTGACGATGTGGACAGGATCCTTGGAGAGGCGAAAGCCACCACATCTGGACTTAGACCCTTGTCCTTCCTGGCTTTTAAAAGCAGCCAGAGGGGGAATGGCCAACGGAGTAAAAGGATGCCTCCTTGCGGGATCCCAGCCTGTTTAAAGGAGGCAGTATTATTGGGGGGGTGGGGGAATAAATCCCACTATATTTTGCACCTGTTGGCCAGTTTCAAATATTCCATCTCTGGTGGTCGAAATGACCAGATAGGTGGGGTAATAAATAGCATAAATAAACAAATAAAATAAAAATGCTGGAGCGTGTGGCGGTTTCTTACCTCCAAGGATTCCTGGATGAAGTGGATTAGCTGGACCGGTTTTGATCTGGCTTCAGGTCCAGCTGTGGGTCGGAGACAGCTTTTGGCCGCCTCGGTAGATGATCTGGGCTAAGAACTGAACTCAGGGAACGTGGCCTTGTTGGTTCCGCTGGACCTCTCGGCAGCTTTCGAGACGATCCACCGCATCATCCTTCTGGACCGTCTCTGCCTCTTCGGGATGGGACTGGGAGGGCACTGTTTGACAGCGTATCCCATCCTTGCCGGAGGGGAAAACTCCGACGTGTAAGAGCCGCTTCGCATTGGGTTGGCCATGTTTCTGTGAAGAGTCTTCTTCTCTCTGTCGGTGTAAGAACCCGGTGTTCCCTCATGGTTTAGACCAAGAGTGAACCAAATAGACTTGGACTTTCAAAATACTTCCATCTACAGATGTTGGGAAGTTCCAGGAGGGTGAGTGTACCCCCTTCTGTTTCTTCTTTTCCTTCCAGGTCTCTTACGTCAGCCTTTCCACGAGGGAAACGTTCTCAAAAGTGGGCCGGGAACTTCTGGGAGCCATTACCGCTGTCCACACGAGCATGATTTCTGTTCTCTTGGATCGAGTCAGGGAGACGATAGAAAAGGTCGGCATGGTAAGGAGGAACGCTACATCCTTATAGATAGCCTGTTTATTGGCTGGAAAATCTCCCTTGGTTGTGCCTTTAAATGGGGCTTTAAAAATTACAGGGGAAAAAAAATTCTGTGTCAGGATGAGTTGGATTTTACTACCATCTTTCCCCGAAAATAAGACAGGGTCTTTAATTTTTTTTTTCAAAAACGTATTAGGGCTTATTTTGAGGGGATGTTTTATTTTCTTTCATGTACAACAATCTACATTTATTCAAATGCAGTCATGTCATTTTCTTCTGGTTGCTGCACAAGGGTGGAGGGTGAGGTTTCACTCAACTGGGGCTTATTTGTGGGGTAGGGCTTATATTATGATAATCCTGACAAATCATACAAGGGCTTATTTTCAGGTTAGGTCTTATTTCCAGGGAAACTCCAGATGAAAGAACTAAAATTCTGTTTCTGACCCTAGTGGGAACATATGGGTTTGGTGCATCAGAGGACAGATTTGGTCCATCGTCTACATTAGTGGTTCCCAACCTTGGGTCTCCAGATGTTCTTGGACTAAAACTCCCAGAATCCTTCACTCCCAGATGTGCCGGCCTGGATTTCTGGGAGTTGAAGTCCAAGAACATCTGGAGACCCAAGATTGGGAACCACTGACGTGACAGGCTTTCAGCTACTAGTTATGACTCCCCCTGCCACTCTATTTTTCATATGTTAAGGGGAAGCAGTGAGGACTAGAAACTTGCATTGATTTGCAGGATATGTACAGGACTCCATGAGGTACAAGCATGGAAACTCATACTGCCATGGAACCATTGAGCTGATAGTGTTTCTGGTGGTTGCATACAAGAGATGTGCATCAGCTTCCGAAGAAATGTGTGAACAAAGCAAAGCAGGTCTACGGTCTATTTATATCCCCCTCTGTCTTTTTTCCTTCCTTAACTAGGTATCCCTTTATTTGTTCAAAGAGCTGCCCATGCATCTCTGGAAGCCCTCTACCCAGGAGGTGGCCCTGATCCGCGACTGGCTGTTGAATTACAACCTGAGCGAAGTGGAGAACAAGCTGGCCTGCATCATCCTAGAAGGGATGAACTGGGGACCTTCCGAAAATGTGTGTATTAAGAATCCTGGCGGCCCCGTTTAATCTGTAGATTGGGGGGGTGCTTTTAAGAAGCTGCTTAGGCTGAAGGATGGCCCTCTCTCGAAACCCGAAAGTGAAGTCTCATCTCTTCTGGTTCTGAAAAAAAGGCTCCCTGGGCCTCAAACAGGCCAGGGAGGGACACGTAAGGGAATTTGGCCCCCAGATGCTGCAATGGATGAATACAAAAGAAAATCTGGTGCAGCGGTTAAACTGCAGTACTGCAGTGAAAACTCTGCTCGCAATCTGCATTTGATCCCAACGGATTCAGGTAGCCAGCTCAAGGTTGACTCAGCTTTCCATCCTTCTGAGGTTGGTCAACTTGAGTACCCAGTTCACTAGCAGGGAGTGGGGGGCGATGTGTAGCCTGCATCATCTATAAACCAACCAGAGAGTGCTTTTTACATGCTCTGTTGTGGTATTTAAGCAACATACTTTGCATTTGCTTTTCAAGGGGGGGGGGACATATTGAGGCACCCAGGACAGCTGCAGGTCTTTTGCTCACCTCTGGCTCCTAGTGTATAAATAAAAATGCAGTTAAATCTTGTTTTGTGAAAAGTAGACCCGTTGTTTTGAAACAGGGTCACCTTCATCTCGATCCAGCCGTCCATGCCGAAGTTGCTCTGATGGTGTTAGAAGCTTATCAGAAGTACCTCTCCCAGAAACCGTACAGCGGCTTGATCTCTGAAAGCATCAAGCAGGTACCTTTCCCTCTGAATGTCTCCTGTGGACGATGGGCAAAGAATTAAGAAAAAAGCCCTCCTGTTCTTATTTTTGTTGTTGTTTCAAAGCTCCTTGCCTTGATAGGGAGTTCCACTGAGCCTAGACCCCCTTTGATCCGTCTAGTGCCTTCTTTTGGAGTGATCTTTTTTTGGTTTTCTTTTGTTTCACTAAGGGTACTTTCTGAACCCTGCCTGGAGATCCGTGGCCTGATCTTGCTTAGTTTTCTGAAATCCAGCAATGTTGGGGTGACCAGGGTATCGGGTGATATTCTGCTACAACCGTTGCTTCCATCTTTTCTACCAAGCACTTGCTTATTTATTTTGTTTTGTTTTGTTTATTTCTTAAATTGATTGACTGCCCCATTAACTGCAGTGCATTGTGGTTTGCAACAATAATAATAAATACAACACATATGGTTCAAATGCGTCACACACTGCAGAGAAGTTAAAAACATTGGAGAAGGAGAAGCGCTTGGCACCGAGAGCAGGTTCTCAAAGAGACAGGAGCCCTGGAGGTGCAGGATCGAGTGCCCTTTATAAGGGAATGGGATCCATCCTGACTTAATGCTGGCCCCTCTGAGCAGTGAGAGGTTCCCCCAGCTCTTCCTAAGCAGACTCTCTTTCCCACGGCTTGACGTCCTTTGAACCGGAGATATCGGTGACCTGAACATAGAAGTTCCCGCTTTCCCACTGGGCAGTGGATTTTCAAAAATCCTGCATACGTTTTGTGCAAAAATGTAGCTTTGTTCTTGCACTAAGCAGGGCTTGCAAGGAGATTTTATAATGGGAGGCTCTCCTTCTCTTTCCAGGGGGATCCGTTCTGTCCTCTCCCACCTTTTCTGCCACTTTTAGTTCTCCGTTTTGCAGCTACTCCAGTCGTTCCCTGATCAGTGAGCACGCTCAGCCCTCGTCAAGCTATTTTGAGGTTCTCTGCCCCTCCTCTGCCCCCCCATACACACACACCTTTGTACACTTCTTCCCTTGAATGGCACAGGTTGGAGCAGCACTGTTTTGGTTATACCCAGATTTTCTTTTTCAAAAAAAAACTATTTTACTAAATAAATAAATACAGTGGTGCCTCGCTTGACGACATTAATTCGTTCCAGCGAAATCGCTGTAGTGCGAAAATGTCGTAAAGCGAAATAAAAAAGCCCATTGAAATGCATTGAAAATCATTCAATGGGCTGAATAACTCAACATCCAGCAAAGATCTTCCATGGGGCAGCCATTTTCGGTGCCTGTAAAGCGAGGAATCCGTCCAAAAACACAGCGGGGAGCCATTTTGAGCAGCCGGTGGCCATTTTGAAACCCCGACGATCAGCTGTTTTGATCATCGTAATGTGAAGAATCGGTTCCTGAAGCAGGGAACCGATCATCACGGTGGCTCCACTTGTTGGCCAGGGAGGGCGATCGGAAGCTGATGCAGCTTGGGGAGGCCATGGCAGCATGCTGCTCTTTTGAGGGTGGAGGAGGAGAGATCACGCCTCTTGTTTTTCCCCTCTGATAGGGCATTTTCCTGTGTTTTGGTGCTCTCTCTCTCTCTCTCTCTCTCTCTTTGTGTGTGCCTTGATCAACTATAACCTTTGGGTGGCATAAGAGTTATATATGGATTTTGAGCTACATGGGGATCGGGGTCCCCTAACCCCAGTGTTGTTGAAGGGAGACGTGTATAATGCATAATATAAAAAATACGTGTTGGTGAGAATCGTGTTGCTGTGTTGCAGAAAAGGCATAACATTCACTCCTTCCTAACCAGCCGTTGAAGAATTCCTGCTGGAATTTTCAAGCACATGCTAGAGCCAGCGGATGTGGGCGCCCCTGAAAATCTCAGCAGGGTCTTATCAATGGCCGGCTAGGAATGAGTGACTGGTTACTCCTTTTGCCTTCCACTTCTGAAATGAAGCAACGTCGTTTTCAGCCGTTGGGTCTCCTTCTGTAAAAAAGTTGGCATTCTCCTGAAGCTGGCGATGCTGCTGTCTTGCCCGGAGGGTGCCACTTTTGTCTCCCGAAGAAGCCACACTTGGTAAACGAGCAGGAGCTGTAGGGTGACAGAACTCGGAAAATTCCTTTTTTCAGCTGTCGTTTCCCAGAGTCTTCCGAAGGTGCTAAGACAGAAATGGCCCTGATGGGCTTCAGACGTTGCCCACAGTGAAAAACTTAGGAGCCGAGTTCCTGGAGTCCTGGAAGATTGAGGCACATTGTGTGCTGTTAAGTTTGATCTGACTTAGGGGTGGCCCTTGCAGGGCTTGCTAGATATAAAGTACTAAGAAACTGGCTCATCTGATCCTCCTTCTGGTGGCCATACGCCTCTGCCCAAAGCCACCCAGGGTGGATGAACCAAGAGTGATGTAGTGTTTCCATTCTAGGTCTCGTACTTGGCCAACGTTGTCCGTTATGGAGAGACTCCAGAGACCTCCTTTAACCAGTGGGCGTGGGGACTGGTCCTAAGATTAAAGCTGCACATGAATGATTTTGGTACCCCACAAGGCTGGCCATCGGCTCCCGTCTCCCGGACAGTGCTCGACCTGGCAGACTCGCCCACATTCCACCCCCTCTTGAAGGCGGTCAGGTCGGGCCTCCCCATCGGCTGCTACCTTGCCCTGGCCATGACGACGGTGGGCCACAGGTAGGCGACTGTAACATTATCTCTGGGTTTCCCAATTAGGCATCCCTGTGGTGCATTTCCAGGTTTCTTAAAGCACAGTGTTTCTCTGTGTCTAAAATTCATTCACATTTAAACAGAAAGCCAAGCATTTAGAAATGGAGGAACGGAAGGAGTCCCCTTGCCAACCTCCTTCCTTGACCACCACAGGGGGACATTAGTTCAAAAGGCGTGCTGCTAACAGCTTTCCTTCCTGATGCATTATAATAGAATGGCCATTTTCTGCTGCAACGGCTGTTGAACTTTGGTGGCCTCTGCAGAAGCTGTCTGCAGGTGCAGAAGGATGCCAGACGGCCACACTGTAGAGACCCCTTGGGTTTCTGAAATCAAGAGATCCTGCCCCATGATTGCATGGTGGTGGTGGTCACTGGGAGAAGGAAAGGACTGGTAAAAGAACCTCGGGTAACTGATCACTCCCAGCTTCGATAATCTGCTGGTCAAGATTTCTGGTGCCATTGCAAACATGCGCTATTTGAAGAAATTGCTGCAAGGCTGCCCTTTGTGCAGTAAGAATTCTGCGGTGCTTACATATCGACCACCACCCCCCCGAAACAGTTGTAAGAATTGTTTTCTCAGCAGGAAGATGGAGACTGTTGGGAGACCTTCTTTAGTTGCTTTCATAATTAGAGTCACAAGGCAGTTATATGGTGTCCAGAATCAAATGAGGATAAACTTGCACTCTGCAATGTGAACATGAGACCTGAGGAGAGGCCCAGTGTATGACCATTTGCAACGTCAGAAGCTCGTGATGAGCTTCCTTAGCTCATAATCTTAAAATGAAAGATGTTTTTAAAATATGTAGAAAACATGTAGCTCACTTCTCACTGGAATCTTTCAGTCCTTTGCTCGGATTTAATGCTCGTACTTTGGATGAGCATCGATGACTGGGCATACAACGTTCCAGTTTTGCATTTCGAGTTGGAACACATGTAGGATAGTGCAAACCAAGGGCTGGGGAGGGGGTGGGTGGGGGGAAGAGCTCTGGTGTTACTTCAAAATGATTCATCTCATATTGCACAGACCCTGGAGGTGGGGGGGGGTCCTTTTGAGCCCTTTACGG